TATATATATAAAATTAGCTTTCCAGAATTAGCTTTCCATTACTGTAACAAAATACAATTAACTTATTAGAGGGAGTTATTTTAGTTTATGGTCTTGGGAGGCTTCAGTCTATAATCTCTTGGCTTTACAGCTTGGGCTTAGGATTCAGTACATCATGGCCAGAGTTTTCATGATTTCTAGGAAGCAAAGGGAGACAGAAACAGGCCTGGATACCAATATTTCTTTCCAGGGCACATTCCCAATGAGCTAATCTTTTACTTACTTCATCTTTTTGTTTTTTTAAATGAGAGAGGTAGACACTTTTTAAAATTTTTTTTTAAATTTTTTTGAGAATTTTTTTATTCATCTTTTTAATTTATATGAGCACACTATAGCTGTCTTCAGACATACCAGATGAGGGCACTGGATTCCATTATAGATGGTTGTAAGCCTGTCAGGATGTGGGTCCTGGGAATTGAACTCAGGACCTCTAGAAGAGCAGTCAGCGCTCTTAACCACTGAGCCACCTCTCTAGCCTGCTTCCTTCACCTTTTAAAGCCGTGGTTCTCAACCTGTAGGTGGCGACTCCCACAAGGCTCCCATATCAGATAGCCTGCATATTGGATATTCACATTATCATTTATAACAGTAGCAAAATTACACTTATGAAGTAGCAAAGAACGTTGTGGTTAGGAGTTCGTACAACATGAGGAGCTGTATTAGAAGGGCTGAGAACCACTTCTATAGAAGCAAACAAGGGCTGAAGAGATGGCCAAGGAGTTACTTAAGCACATATCTCTCCTCCAGAGGACCAAAGTTTGTTTTTCACCTCCTACATCAGCCAGGCATCTCAGAGCAGTCTGTAACTCTAGCTCCAGATTCAATGCTTCTGCCCTCTGAGGCCACCCACACATGTGGTCTTGAGAGCATATGATCACAGGAGCACACATCATGCACACGCACATACACACACACATGCACACACATGCACACACACATACACACATATACACAATGCACACACACATATGCACGCACACATGCACACACACATACACACATATACACACACATGCACACACACATGCACACATACACACACATATGCACACACACATGCACACACACATGCACACACAAAGAGCTGATGGGGAGAGGACACTGTCCAAATAGCTAGGCTGCCTACCAGTTAAGCAGGAAGCTCCGGGCATCCAGCTTTCCCAGTCATCCTCCAGTCTGGGGCAGCTTTTCAGAGATTTATGCATCACCCTGCTCCTGTAAGAAACCTTAATAGACTCACTGCTTCACCACATTAGACTTGAGTGAACTCATTCCTTTGTTCAGTGTTGGGTCTTTCCTTTTCCAACTGAGCTATATCCCTAACTTCCTACTCAATAAGCCTTACTGCCTAACCTTTATCTAGCCTTTATCCGCCTACCCCTAACTCACTACCCTGAGAAACTTTTCTTTGTCACTTCAAGAGTCCTGTTCTGGGACCGAGGGTGGGGCATTGTGGATGTGGCTCAGGAGGTAGAACATTAGCTTAGCATGTAGAAAGCTCTGGGTTCCAACCCAGCACTGTACCAGCCGGACTTGGTGGCACACACTGGTCATGCCAGCACTTCTGAGATGGAGGCAGGAGGATCAGGAGTCCAAGGTCAGTCTTGGCTACAGATTAATTCAGTTGGAGTCCAGCCTGGACTACATAAGATCCTGTTTCAAAACAAATATTCAAAATACTAGTGTCTTCCCTCCTCCGAACAAAACAAAGCAAAACAAAACACAGCTGGTTAAAGTGAATCCTCTGGTGCCAGGTCCAGGTAGATATGGAAACACCTTTAATTGGTCAATTTTTGTCCTTCCTGGAAAGAAGAGTAGAAAGCCAGGCAGTGGTGGTGCACGCCTTTAATCCCAGCACTTGGGAGGCAAAGGCAGGTAGATCTCTGAGTCTGAGAACAGAGAAACCCTGTCTCAAAAAACCAAAACCAAAACAACAACCAAAAAAAAGAGTGGAGGAGAACTTTGAATATTTTGTAGTTGTTTTTATACACATACACACACACCCATGCACACACACCACACTGTAACCATGGGGGTCAGAGGACAGCTTGCCCAAAGTCAGTTCTTACCTTTGACCATGCCAGTCCCAAAGATGGAACTCATGTGTTCAGGCTTGACCTACATGCGGCTCTACCCACTGCGCCATCCTGCTTGCCTGGAGCTCCCTATGTATATCTGGCTGGCTTGGAACTCACTGAGAACCTCTGCCCCCTGAATGCTGGGATTAAAGGCACTTGTCCCCTGCCAGGCTCACTTTTCTTCTAAAGGTGCCTTGTAGTAGCCAAGTGGCATCTAATGATGTCCTGGAGCCTTGTGCCAGATGCCTGTCACTCAGCACTTGGGAGACTGAATAAGGAGTGTAAAGCCAGTTTGAATACGTGGTGAGTTCAAGGATAGCTTAAGATACTTGAGGTCCTTAAAAAAACAAACAAAATCTAATCATCTTTCAAAGAAAATGAAAATCAAGATGCCTTGTGACACCAGTCACAGATGCTCAGAACAGACAAGCTGATAAAGCCTGCCTGTGAAGCAGACAAGTGAAGGAGAAATCCCTTTTGTGTGGATCTGACACGTGTTTTGCTTGGATTTTCTTTCAGCCGCCCCCCGTGGGAAATGAATTAATTTTTGAAACATTTTGCCTGTGGAGTTGCCTAAGCAGCCGTGGAGCAGGCTGCAATAGGCTTAGAAGGTCATTCTGGGTGCCCGTGGGCAGGGAGGACAGACGTGGCAGCAATGTATTTGCAAACTGGGTTCAGGTTTGCACGCCTACAAGGCAACAGTACTCGGACAAAGGGCGGGCAGTTGCGCCTGCGCGGACCTTCGGACCTTTCTGAAAGGAGTTTGACCCCGCCCTGGGTGACATCACGATCGAGTTGCCATGGCTCTGCTGAACGGTCTGGCTTCCGCGCTGGAGTCCTACAGGGGCCGGGACCGCCTGGTGAGAGGAAGTCTGGGGCTGTGGCGGGACAGAGTGACCTGGAGTTTGGTCAGGACTCAGAGATGAGGAAAACAGGCCAGAGAGGGGGTCCTAAAGGGACCGGTTTCGGCAGGCTGGTGTCTTACATGAGAACCTTCTACCTCAGCTTCCTGAATTGCTGGGATTACAGGTGTGTGCCATCACACACAGCTTGAAACTAATAAGTTCTGACAAGCGAATGAAATAATAAAAGATCTGGGACTGTAGCCCACGGCTTTCCTAGCATAGACGAAACCATAAGGTCTGTCCTCAGCACCACATAAACCAGATATGTTGGCACAAGCCTGTGATCTCGGCTCTCATGATGGAAAAGATCAGTAGTTCAAGGCCAGCCTGGGTTACATGCTACCCTGTTTCAAAACAAAAGAAGCAAAGATACAAGAGTGCGAAGCCTGTCTCCCTGTTGTAAATCTCCTATTGAATGGCCTCCTCTAAAGTCTTCCAAGCAAATTGCTATTTTGCCTCCTAGGGCAGCTAAAGCCATGGCTAAGCCAGGTAGAGCCTTGTGCCCCTGCCTGTGGGCAAAGGAGAGCCCAGGAAGTGGGAATAGTTTTGTTTTCTTTGAACCTGTCTTTTCAACCATTGGTGAGCAAGCTAGCCCTCTAATGGGACTCTCCAAGGCAACTCTTTTTCCCCCTCTCCTTCCCTCCCTTCCTCTTCCCTCTCCTCCCCTTTTCTTGGTCTTTCAGGTTGCCACACAGCTCAGGCTGACCTTGAACTTTCTTGTCCTGCCTCAGCTCCCCAAGTACTGGCTGGGATGACAGGTGTGCCTCACCACATCTGGATGTGATACCTTTTGAATTTTGATGTCAAGCTCTTAACCTCTTCCAAGCCTGGGCTGTTGGCCCAATTGGTAGAGTGCTTATGTAGCATACAGGACTTGGTTTCAGTCCCTGGCACACCAGATGCTTGTACACCTCTCATTCCAGAGTTTGGGAGGTGGAAGCAGGAGGATCAGGAATTTTACTCATGAACACCGTGTATGGTTAGCCTGGGCTATGTGAGATCTTGTCTCAAATTAACAAATTACTATAAAGTTACGTCTTTTAAAAAAAGGAAGAGAGAAAGAAAGGTTTCAGTTTTAGCCAAGTTTAGTGCCTCATGCTCGTTATTACAGCCCTGTGGATTCTGAGACAGGGGAATGACAGTGACTTGCTGAGCTATGTGGTGAGTGAGGTGAAAGTGAGACCCAGCCTCAGTAACCAAAAGAAATGAAATGTAGAAACCTTTCAGATTGGGTTGGGAGTTTGTTGACTCTCAGAACTTTCTGGTTCTGGTTTTGAGACAGGGTCTCAGTAGCCCAGGCTGGCCTTGAACTTGGGGGTGATCCTCCTGCCTTAGTCTTTCAAGTACTGAGAAGTATAGGCCCGAGCCACCATCCTCAGCAACTCTTCCAACCCTTTCCAGCTTCCATCCTAAAGGGCCCATGGCTGGGTGGTGGGGATTGCAGCTCAGCCATGATTGGGACCATGGTAACCGCTTCTGGTCTCCCACAGATCCGGACACTGGGGTATGGCTGCCAGCTCATCGGTGGGGTCCTAGTGGAACAATGTCCCACCAGGTCCGAAGTGGGAAGGCGCTTGCTGGTGGTGTCAGCCCAGCTCAGTCATTGCAGGACTGTCTTGCGACTCTTTGATGACCTGGCCATGTTTGTCTACACTAAGCAGTATGGCCTGGGGACAGAGGTAACAGGGTTAATGGGGCTCAAGGGAGAGGGGACTAGAACCTCCCGAGGAACAGGAGCAATGGCTTCCGTGGGCATTCAAAGGGCTTGCTCCAAAGTGCTTCCTACTGGGTCATCTGATTTCTTATGGCAGTATTGGCCACAGAACATGTTACTCAAGCACTTTATTGTTAAGCCACATAACTGCCTCTCACTGGGGGATTCTAGGCAGGGGCTCTGCTGCTGAGCCACGCCCCAGCCTCAGTAGGTAGGTAAAAATGCTGACTATACAAAATTGATCACCCGAGTTTAGGTGGACTGAGAAAACACTCCTGAAAGTTATCTTTTGAACCCTCACACATGTGCACACCTCTCTCTCTCTCTCTCTCACACACACACACACACACACACACACACACACACACACACACTTTGAAAGTCCCCAAACCATGGGTGGTAGCCTACACTTGTAATCCTAGCACTTGAGAAATAGAGGCAAGTGGATCTGAGGTTTAAGATCTGGGCTGGGGAGATAGATCAGTTGGTGAAATAATTGTGTAATCCTGAGAACCTGAGTGTGATTCCTAAAACCCATGTAAAATAAACTGTGCGTGGAGACCTGTGTTTGTAATCCCATTCTGGAGAAGCATAGACAGGAGAATCCTTGGGGGATACCATTACCCAGGCAGCCTAGCCTGTTTAGTGAGCTTCAGGACTGTGAGAGAGACAGTCTCAAAACAAACAAACAAACAAAAACAGTATAGGCTGTGCAGATGGCTCAGTGGATAAAGTGCTTGCAGCACAAGTATGAGGACCTGAGTTCAAATCTCCAGGACTCATATAAATCTCGATAAGATAATGTCTCTGATGCTAGCATTTCTACAGGGAGGTGTACTATGGAGGCAGGAGAATCCCCAGAAGCATGAAGGACAGCTAGCTTGGTGAGAGGACTGGGGAGAAAGACTCTGCCCCAATCAAAATAGAAGACAAGGACTAACGACACCGAGGTTGTCTTCCGACCGCCACACACGTGCTGTGGACGCATGCACCTGTACTCTCATACAAGAGTGCGCACACGCTCCCCATACTGACACTCTTATGTTAGAGGAGTCTATAACTCCATCTCTAGAGAACCTCACACCCTTTTCTGGCCTCCAAAAGCACTTGCACCACCACTACTAGTACTTGACACACACACACACACACACACACACACACACACACACACACATCCCATATAGTTCAAGAGCATCCTTAGCTATAGAGTGAGTTTGAGACCAGCCTTGCATATATGAGACCCTGTCTTTAAAACAAGATTTCTGGGGCCAGACAGATGGCTCAGTGGTTAAGAGAGCCTATTGCTTAATCATGAGGCTCAGAATATGGTTCCCAGCACCCATTTATGGTCGCTCATAAAGGCCCCTACCTCCAGCTTCAAGGGATCCCATGCCCTCTTTTGGCCCTGGAGGGTACTGCACCCATATGGGTGTGTTTATATGTGTGCAACAGGCACAAATAAGTAAATGAAAAGTAACAACAATGACAAACTTTGGTGTCTATCCCAGTCCTCCTGCAATGTTTGTGGCTGGTATAAGGCTTGGGGTTTTGACAGCTCTCAAGGGGATTCCATTGCTTGAGTTGAGAGCCAGTGAGCTGTCCAAGGAGCATGAACAGAGGACGCCAGGCCTAGTTCTTTTCTTGCATAGCTGTTAGCAGTGGGTTGTACTGCCCAGGTACCAGGACACAGACAGTGGTCACGGGGAAGTCTTGTGGCACCAGAATGGGATCATCCTAAATGGGTAGTGGGGAGGTCTGACTTTCAGGCCCATCCTCACCTCTTGGTTTCCTAGGAGGAGGACATCTTCATCCGATGGTTGTCTGTCCTGAGTAACATGGCTGACCAGATGTACTATCCATGTGAGCATATTGCCTGGGCTGCCGATGCCAAGGTCCTCCAGGTGGACTCTGCTCGGTGGTGGACACTGAGTACAGCCCTCTGGACTCTCTCTCTCCTCCTTGGAGTTGTCAAGTAAGTGAAATCTGCCAGAGGGGCCACCTGAGGTCTCCAAGTGGTGTTACCTCAACAGAGGCCCAAAAGTTGGCAACTCTTCACCTATTGGAATTTCCTTCCTTATATTTATTATTTTTACTTTTGTGTTGGAATGTTTTGTCTGTATGTACGCCTGGGTACCCTGTGTGTACAGTGCCCCACGGGAAGCCAGAAGAGGATGTCATATCCCTGGAACTGGAATTACAGACAGTTGTGAGCTGCCCTGTGGGTGCTGGGAACCAAAACCAGGTCCTCTGCAAGAGCAGCCAGAGCTCTCAGCTGCTGAGTCCATGTCTGCAGCCCTTCCCCTGATGTTTGACCCTCTGTTTATTTCTGGTAAGGTAACTGCTGTAAAAGTCGGATACAAACAGGGTCATTTAAACAAACAACACAGCAGTTAGTTCACAGTACTAGTCAGAAGCTTGAAATCAGTTTCCATAGGGTAAAGTCCAGATGAGGCAAGGCCAGGCCCTTCTGCAGGCTCCACGGTGTATCCACTTGTGTCTCTGTGTAGCCAGCCCACATCCCTTTGCTTGTGGCCCCCTCCTCCTTCAAAGCTGGCACCTCAGAGTCTTAAGAGTGTATCTTTGCTTCTGATCCCCCACTTCTCTCTTCCTCTCTCACCGTAGTCACTCCCTCTTAATGGATGCATTTATTCTTGAAAGCTTTTAAAGAAAGATTTGATTTCTTATTACATTGATGGTTTAGTGCAGATGAGCGCATGCGCCTGTCCCAGAAGAGGACGCTGGAGTCTGTGGGGCTGGTTACCTGCTGCCCGGCGTGAATGCTGGGAACCGAATCCGCCCTCTGCAAGGGCAGTACACTCGCTTGTAGCCACTGAGTCCTTTCTCCAGTCCCATTAAACATGAGTTTATAGATTATGTGTGATTGTGTGTGAATGTGGTGGTGGTGCTGTGTGTGTGCGCGCGCGTGTGCGTGTGCCTGTGGGGGCAGGACAGAGGAGGACATGGAACTCTTGTTATTCTTTGCCTTTTCTGTTGAGGGCATGTCTTGGCCTGAACCCAGACCTTATATTTTTGGCTAGTTTGGCAGCCAGCAAGCCTCAGTGGCCCTCCTGTCCCCGCTCCTCAAGTGCTAAGGCACTTGGATTACTGGACTGTACAAGACCATACCCAGCTTGGGGTCATGAACTAAAGTCCTAATGGCTCTAGGCAATGCTCTTAACCATGGAGCCATCTCCCTTGCTCCCCATTGCTTTTCTTATGCCTGCATGTGCATGAGGGCGTGTGAGCATGAGGAAGCCGTGTGAGCATGAGGAGGCCATGTGATCGTGAGGAGGCCGTGTGAGCATGAGGAGGCCAGAGGCCAACCTGAGATGGCATTCCTCAATCATTGGCCTCTAAGTTTAATTTTTTATTATTTGATTTAAAATGTCTTTTAAACATTTGTGTGTGGGGCATGTCTGCACCATAGTGGACGAGTGCGGTTGTGGAGTTTGGGTTCTGGGGTTGGAACTCAGGTCCTTAGGATTTGTGGCAAGCACCCTTGCCTGCTGAGCCTCTACCTTTCCTTCCTTCCTTCCTTCCTTCCTTCCTTCCTTCCTTCCTTCCTTCCTTCCTTCCTTTCTTTCTTTCTTTCTTTCTTTCTTTCTTTCTTCCTCTTTCTTTCTTTCTTTCTTTCTTTCTTTCTTTCTTTCTTTCTTTCTTTCTTTCTTTCTTTCTTTCTTTCTCACTGCTCTGGGCCTCACCACCACCTTAGCTAAGCTGGCTGACCAGTGAGCACCTCCAGGTACCCTCAGGACTGAATTTTTTTTAAGGGTTATATCCCCAGCCTTTTTGCATATATATATATAGAATTTATTTTTGTGTGTGCTCGCATGCATGGTCCATCTGTGGAGGTCAGACAATTTGTGGGAGCTGGTTCTTTTCTTTCACCATGTGGATCCAGGGGATCAAACTTAGGGTACCAGGCTTGGCTGCAAATGCCTTTACCCTCTGAGTCACCTTGCCAGCTCCTCGCTTTACTTATTATTTTGAGCCAGGATATTATTATTATTCCAGGCAGGCCTTGAATTTAGATCTTCCTGCTTCAGTCCCCCAAGAGGATGGGACAAGAGGCCTGTGCCACCATGCCTGGCTCTGCCAGTTCATTTCCAGCCTTTGGATGTATGCTTGTCGGACATGCTCAGACAATATCCCTATGTCCTTTCATGAGTATGGTTTTCTTGCTGACCGCAGCTGACCTCCAAGGTCCCCTTACGCTTGCTGTCTGAGCTCCATGCACACTACTGACTATCTCTCAGCATTTAGAGACTCCAGAGTGGATATTTGGGCTGAGCTTTTAATGTACCCTGGCCGCTGCTTATCACTGGGAAGGACCACACCGATCCATGCTGGTGGGATCTAGATTAAGAGATGGGTCTCTCCTGGGCTAGGAATGTGGTTCAGCATGCACGAGGCCCTGGTTTTCATTCTCAGAAATTGTATAAAGCAAATGTGGTGGTCCATGCCTGTCATCTCAGAACTCAGAACAGAGGGCCAGGAAGAGGCAAGGGAAGTCAGGGCAGGGACTCAAGGCAGAGAAGCACAAGGAAACACTGCCTGCTGGCTCACTTACCGGTGCCATCACCTGCAGAGTTTGGATCTGGAACCCTGACCAGGGAGGGGAAGAGAATGAGGAAAGGATTGTGACATCAAGTGACAGAGACTTGGATACATGTACAGAAAAGTGGGGAGTCTGGTCTATATAGTGAGTGCTAGGGAAGCCAGGGTTACAGAGTGAAATCCTGTCTCAAAAACAGAACCAGCCAACCAACCATTATCTCTACTGAAAGGAAAGAAAAGCTGAGGTCAGGCAGGATGTGTGCATTCTAATGGAGTGGCACCTACTGCTGCTGTACCCTGGAACCTCCACTGATTATGTGCACATCGGGGGTTGGTGGGGGGTCAGCTAGTCTTAGGAGGAAGTGTCTGTAAGCAGCAGCCTCAGAGAGAGGAGGAAGCTGCAGTGGCTAGTTTTTCGACTCACTGGTCAATCATTTGTACTCAGACCCCCTGGGAAACCTTTGCAATTTCTTGAACCTCCTCCTTTTGGGAAGCATTGCCACTCCCATGGGGCTAAGGCACTGGAATCCTTGACATGGCTATACCCCTGTCAACAATGCTTACTTACTCAGGACTCCCCTCACTCAGGACTTCTTTGTTCTCTAGTAAATAATCTGACCCCACACCCCATATGCCCACAGGCTATTCTGATCCTTAATCAAGGCCTTCCTCTTAGATGATTCTAGGCTGAGTCAGTTTGACAATTAAAGCTAACTAGGACAGAACCCCAGCCTTTGCCCCACAAAGCGACAAGTCTTTCTTCCAAGGCACAGCTAGTCACTATGCAGGAGGCTGCAAGCAGGCCCATGACTGGCCACATATGGACAGTGGCCAGTCTCCGAGTTCCCTGGATTGAAGGCCATAGAGGCTCTTGCTGCCTTAGCTGCTGTGGGGAGCTGACCCCACCCCTCCCAGCTCGTCACGCTGCTCTGACAGAGCATCCCTGTCTCCTGTGTTGCAGGGCCCTGTGGAAAATGTTGAAGCTAAGACAGAAGCTGCGGAGCCCCACAGGCACCTTTGCAAGGTACCTTGTCCTAACCTCTCCTGCGAGGTGTATAGAATGGTCACCTCTCTGATCCATGCCCCTGCCGAGCTTTGCAGGGCTGATGTAGGAACTTTTTCCCTGGAGAGTTGTGAACAGATGCCTGCCAAGCCTCATAGGGTACCAATGACAAACTAAAGTATGGTTTAGTCAACTCAAACTTGTGGAACCCAGCAGAGCCTGAGTGTAGGTGACCTCCAAACAGCTGTTATCATTGGAAAGTCTCACTCCAGCATGGGTGACAACTTCCTCATAGCTTCATAGGACCTCCATGCAATCAGGGTAGAATTGCATGTAGTGAGGCTGGGAGGTCAGGAGGAGGCAGCTAAAGTGTCTGATGAAGGCCAGTGACCCCCCCCCCTCACCTCTCCACGTGAGGGAAAGTCAGCAGTCAACAGCGCTGATGGCTGTTAGGTCCAGGGATAGCTCACTACTAAAGAAGTGCTTGTGAGCACGTGTGTGTGTTAGGCATGTGGTGTGTGTTCACAGAGCATTGCTTCAGCCTCTGGGTGGGAAGTCCTGCTTTTCTCAGGTAGGGAAACAGGTTTGTCTGAATGAGGCCTATAGGCTGAGCCTTCGTGGCTGGATCCCATAGCAGGGTGGGTGAAGTTGAGACAACAGTCACATTTCCTATACTTCGTGCCCAAGGATTCTGAGGAGGTGTGGAATTGAGGCTGTAGGCCATTCTGTGCTTGCTTTTTCTCTGGGGGATATGGAAGGGGCAGGCAATGAATGGCTCTCTCCTCTTTGTCTCCCTCAGCAGCCAGCTGCCGAGGAGCAAGCGGAGGGCCATGGAGGCAAAGATATGCTCAGAGGTTTTAACTCTCCTCAGCAACCTGGCTGACCTGGCGAATGCTGTGCACTGGTTGCCCCGAGGTGTCCTGTGGGCTGGCCGCTTCCCTCCTTGGCTGGTGGGCCTCATGGGTACCATCTCCTCCATCCTCAGCATGTATCAAGCTGCCAGGGCCGACAGACAGGCGGAGGCAGACAGCCCTTGACGAGGCCCTGGAGTGGCAGGTGGAGAACACTGCTGCTCAACAGCACTCAGATCCCCAGTGGGCACCACTGGCCACGGGTGCATCCATAACTGTGTACTCCAGTGCTGGCCCCTGGGTGGGGTGGGAAAGGGGCCGAAATGAGATCTTCTCAGGCCCCAGCTAGGGGTTCAGGGGAAGCTACTCCTTTGGGGAGAAGGGGGCACATGAGAACCCCAGGTCTCCCAAATCCAAGGCCAGGTTTGCAAACTCCCTGGAGGACATCCCAGGAGGACACTGCTTGAACCTCCCACCTGCTGGCTTGCCTAAAGGTGAGTGGGAGAGAGATGCTGTGGCTCAGGTTGGGCTTTGGCAAAGCTGGACTATAGGAATGTCTATTAAATTTCTTGGTATGGTGCCAGTGTGTATATGAGGTGAATAGAGCAGTCGCACTCTGGCCTTCCCTCCCCGGGGCCTAAGTCACAAGGGCTGCTCTCACAGGTGCATTGAACATGAGGGAAACCACTCATTTCTGTTCCACCCCTCAGCCGACTGGCCTCAGTATCTTGACTACTGAGCCCAGGACTACCTGCAGTTCTCAGAGGGAAACTGGAGGCTGTTGCCTCCAGGAAGGCCACACCTAAATGAGGGACCTCAAGGGCCACAGAGTCCCCATTTAAGCTGGGGTCAGGGCATGGTTGTTGGCCTCTCTGACGACGTATAGATAGGTTTGTGTTCTATATCAGAGAGACCACGGTAGGTTGGGCCTTTTTTCCTTTTAAACAACTTTAAGTGTTTATTACATTTTAGTGTGTGTGTGTGTGTGTGTGTGTGTATGTGTGTGTGTGACGGCTCCCACCATCCAAGTCCTGGGGATCGAATTCAGCTTGTTAGGCTTGGCTGCGGGCACCTTTACTCACGGGGCCATTTCACCCATTCACGTGTATAGTTTTTGATCTGAAAGCCAAGAATGTTTGAGAGACTCTGGGTCCAGCCTAGGAGACAGCAGCCTTTGAACTTTACACGATACCAACCTTTTTTGTTTGTGTTCTGAGGCAGTCTGGCCACACAGGCAAGCCTGCTTCCCAGGTATAGAAATGTCTTTTCCTTCCCTTTCTCCCCCGTCCCTCCCAGTTTTTAGTACTGGGGGTGGATGACTCGTGTGTTCTATTGTCACAATACAATGCCCTCTAACCCCTACCCTTTTGGTGCTGGCCAAAGTCCAAGAAACTTTTTTTTTATAAGGAAGACAGGTGGTTGTGAACCACTGGGATGCTGGGACCACTTAGGGTAGTGGGGTGATGGGCCCTAGCAAAGCACTCCACCCTTTTGCTTGTGAGCACCTGTGCAGGGCTCATGGGTAGGCCAGGATCAGCTCCTATTTCTGGTGGTCCCACCTGAAGACTGAGTCCGTGAGGCCCTCAGAGCAGTACCTTACCTAGTCAGGGTGCCAGGAAAACAGGCTGAGCTTGGAGTCCAAGCCTTGCAAGAGAAGACCTTTGACATTAACCGTGTATGGTGCAGACATGGAACAAAAGGACAGAAAAGGCAGTTCCCGTGAGCTGTGCCGTGGCTCTAGACGGGGATGGTTCTGTCTCGTATGTACTAGCCAAGTCCTCCATCAAGAGCTCCAGTCCAAACACACTGAGACAAGGCCTTTCTTGGTCAGGTTGCTTTGAATTTACCATGTAAATTCAAAGGATGCTTGAAACTTCTTTGAGACAGGGCCTCACTATGTAGCCTTGCTTGGCCTCAAACTAAGAGATCTTTCTCTGCCTCCTGAGTGGTGGCGTTAAAGGTGTGTGCCACCATACCCAATTAAACTTTTATTTTTCAGAAAAAGACCTACTTGTGTATGTGTCCTAGTATATATACGAACCACATGCATGCCTGGTGCCTATGGAGGGTGGGTGCCCCATATCCAGTGCTCTTAAACACTGGACCATCCTTCCAGCCCCCAGACCTTAAACATAAATAAATAAATAAATAAATAAATAAATAAATAAATAATAAAAAATAAATATGCGTGTGAATGCAGGCGCGTGTACAGGTGAAAGGACGAACTTAGGTCGAGCAGCTTGAGACGGGCTCGTCATTGTTTACTGTGTGTACATCACGCTAGCTGGCCAGTCTCTGTGTCTGCTTCCTATCTTCTGTGAGTGCTGGGATTACAGATGCATGCCGCTCAGTCTGGCTTTTCCCTGGCTTAGGCGCTCACCCTTGCACAATGACAAGCACCTTATGCGCTGAGCCATCTCCCCAGCCCCACCTGACACTTCTGATCCTTTGCCTCCACCTCCTGAGTGCCGAGATTTCAACTGTGTACCACCAGGCCGAACTGGAAATAGACTAGGGCTTCATGTATGCTTGGCCAACGCTCTCCTAACTGAACCACACCCTTGGGTCTACCCATAGATAGCACTGGCACACCTCCTACATTCAAGTTCTTTATCAACAAAACCTTGGCAGGGCACAGCTCTATGCTCTGCATCCCCAGCCCCCAAAGAAGGTCTGTTTCAGCCTGAGATCCTTTGGATAATTTTATTGCTCGAATCTGGTCATAAGTTCTAGGGTGGTTCCAGAATACCCTGTTGCCAGGGTGCTCTGTTATCACTGTGAAAATAATCAAGGGTAGGCAAAGAATCACGGTCACAACTGACAGGGGATGCCACTCAACCTCAGAGACTGAATGCTGCTAGCTCACCGTCTTCACAAATGAGATCTTCCAGGAAGGAGCCCATGGCTGCTGGTGACACTGTCCTACTGTGTGCGGTACACAGCTGAGAACCACCTGGCCATCTGGCAGAGATAAGCTGAATCCTTCCTAAGGCCAAGTGGAGACCATTTGAACTTCTAAATCCAAAAAGTCATGGTGTCTGATGGTGAGCCTACCCAGCTCTGGTTGGGTACTGGAATGTTCTCTTCACAGAGTGGGAACTTAAAACTCAGCTTTCCTAAAGTGCTCTGATACATCTCAGTACAAAAGAAAAAAAAAAGGAAAAAAAAAACCCCAAAACACAAAACACTGATTAGCAACATGGCACAATGAGGTCTGGTAGATGTAGCTACACTCTGGACACACGACAGACAGGAAAGGACCAGAATAAGAGCTGTTCAGGTGCAGGGGTCCACAAGCCTAGGGATGAGGACGGGGATGGGGCACACCACTCCTGGCACTCTGAAGTCTAATATTAGAGACCACCACTTTCTGCACCCTGTTGCCTGCCAGCTGGAGGACTCTGGTACCCACATCCACAGTCGCTCCCTGAGCTCATGAATGCTTAAGTCTTGGCTCTGGAGGTCTCTGTTGCTCATGCCAGCAGCCTCTGACATGTCCCTGTTCCACAGTGGTGGGGATGGCCTGGCTGGCTGCATTAAGTATCACAGGGCAAGGCTCTTGGTAGTGGGTCCTTAGGATGCTGGGCTCTAGAGACTGTCCTTTTTGGGACTATGAACCATCAGTGGAGGACTTGGTCCTGCCTGTTAGTACTTCAGGGCAGGGTACAGCAGGGAAACCTGGTAAGGGATGATTCTGGACCTTGGGCAGGTCTAAATGTGGTAAGACCTGGAACTCAGATCTGCCCAGTTCTGGGAACAAGACTAGATCAGGCCAGCTACTGTCCCAACTCCTGCACAGGCTGAGGTGGTACCAAGATAGTCACCTGTGGCTACTTACTGGCAATGTCACTAGGCCATTCCTCCACATGTCCCTGAATGTGTTAGCTCTGCTTTTCTGGCAGGACACTGAAGGGACCAGGGAAAACCTCATTTCGCAGTGACCAGACACTGTCTGTCTGAGATATATACTGCCCTGCTGAACCTGGGGCTCTGCATCTCAGCTAAGGTGGATGGGAGGACATGGCAGGCGCCCTTTGAGAAGCAGAGCTGGAAAAACTCGGCCTACTACAAGGAGTGACAGTTGGTAACCCCTCTTCAGATTGATTTCTGAACCCACAGATCCAGTCCACTGCTCCATGGGTTGCCTGGGGCTGCCTGAGTCTGTCCAACCCTGTGGTCCTCTGTAGTTGCCCAGTTCACTTACTGGTCAAGGCTGTGGCCAGTGCCAGCTGCTGCTTTCAAAGTGGAGATTCGCTGGACTCCGGGTGATTCTAGTGCCTTCTGGTGCAAAATGACTCAGTTCAATCCAGAGATCCCTGGGAGTTATGGAGTCTGCCCCTGGACCTGCCTGCTCTGTCTCCTGGAGCCTGGGTCTTCTCAGACCTGCCTGCTCTGTCTCCTGGGGCCGGGGTCTTCTCAGACCTGCCTGCTCTGTCTCCTGGGGCTGGGGTTTTCTCAGACCTGCCTGCTCTGTCTCCTGGGGCCGGGGTTTTCTCAGACCTGCCTGCTCTGTGTCCTGGAGCCGGGGTTTTCTCAGACCTGACTGTTCTGTCTCCTGGGGCCGGGGTTTTCTCAGACCTGACTGCTCTGTGTCCTGGAGCCGGGGTCTTCTCAGACCTGACTGCTCTGTCTCCTGGGGCTGGGGTCTTCTCAGATCTGCCTGCTCTGTCTCCTGGGGCCAGGGTCTTCTCAGATCTGCCTGCTCTGTCTCCTGGGGCTGGGGTCTTCTCAGACCTGCCTGCTCTGTCTCCTGTTTCCCTAGCTTTGTACTTCCTATGTCTGGTTTAAAATAGCTCAGTGGTTTAGCTGGGGTTCCACTCTCAACTGAAAAGAACTTCGTTTGAGCTTATTTACATGCATATGCATAACTACGTGCATATGCATGTGTGTGTGTATGTTCAAGGGGATACCCATGTTCTACCACTAAATCTATAGAGAACTGTGAGACCCAAGACACCAACTGGGGACTCTCAGGTGAACAAGTGCCTGGCTGTGCTTGTGCAGGGGAAGGAGATGGCCAGACGGAACAGTCACCCATAGGATCCCCAGAGACATAAAGGGTTATCAGGACAGAAAGGGGTCTGCTCTCGGGGCCATGGCCCTCAGAAGAAGATGACGTCTTCCTTGCCAACTTCATCTGTGGTGGTGAGCGGTGTGGTTGGCAGCGAGGGAGCTGGGGAGGCAGGTGGCAGTGACGTGCCTCCGAACTTGAAGGCCTCAGGGGGTGTGGCAGCTGGGGCCGGGCTTGGGGCTGGGAAGCAGGGGTCTGGAAGAGAGTTGGGGGTGGTCACAGGAGTGTTAGATGCCACCAGAGTGGGCAGCCCTAATGGCCCACCAGTGGCTGGGCTCACCTGGGGCAGGTGCAGATCCATGGGTGGCAGGCAGGACGGGACTCAGTGAGCGACGGTTTCGTGATGCATTCTCATCCTTGCCTATGAACTTGTTGAGGAGCAGCTGCTGCTTCAGGTCGAAGGATGCTGGAAGAGGGAAGGTGCTTGAACCTGACCCTATGCCATCTGGTGGGGGTGGGTCTCCCCTGCTTGTACTTCCTCATGGGCAGCCAGATAAGTACTTTGAAAGGTGGCATGGAGTCACTCAGTGTTGGCATGAGAGAAGCGTGTGGCTTCCAAGCAGCCTTTCCCCATGATCATTAGGACATGGATTCTGCTTATGGAGAAGGTCCCACAATCCTTAGTGTCAACGGGGGAGAGGGAATCTCTATGGTGAGAGGATAAAGATACTGGCTATAGTCCAGCCCCTAGTACCTGTCCTGTGTCCCAGCTGGGAGGTTCTAAGTAAATGAGCATGATGGTTAATTCTGTCAACAACGCGACCTGGGACAAAGGTTTCAGTGAAGGATTGCCTCCATCAGGCTGAGCTGTGGGTATCTGTCTGTGGGGGTTTGTCGTATCCGCCTTTATCGGTGTGGCTGGGGTGCCACCATTCTTAGGTTTGGATAGAGAAGAGCTAGCTGGCTGGACACTAAGCATACAAGCATTCATTCCTCTCTGCTCCTGACTGGATATGACTGACTGGCTCAGGCTTTCCCTGCTGTGAGTCCTCACAGTGATGGGCTCGAACCTGGAACTATGAGTCAGGGCATTTTACCACAACAGAAATGCAACTGGAAAAATGAATTTCTCTGCCTTCTTGCCCATGCTGCTGCCTGGACAAAGGTCCACTGGGAAGGGTGTGCTGCTTCCCTGGTGTAGGGGTCCTTGCACTTTGGGGGTGGGGTGCAGCTCACCTGAGCTCTCCCAGCGCTGGGAACCCCTGCTCTTGCTGCCTTTGTCCTTGCCTCCCTTGGTGGAGGCAGCCAGTTTGGTGGGGATCTGCTGCTGCACGGCTGTCTGCCTCTGAATCTGATTGGTGGCACTGAGCAGCTGGATGGGCACATCGCTCTTGGCTGGCCGGCTCTCAGCAGGGGCACTGTCCCAGCGGGCTACCTCAGGTCGCTCTACGTACTCAGGTCCTGTGCCATGTAGCAGCATGCTCCCTTGGGTTCCCGGTGCTTTGGCTGGGCCCAAGAGCCCCTCTAGCCCATCCCCATTGAAGCTGGGAGGCTGACTTGTAGGCTGGGCCTGGAAGTAATAGAAGACACATCCTATTGCTGCTAAGCCTGCTGGTGGCTACTAACCCACACCAGGCTTCTGAGCCTTTTGGTGGCTTTGGCCTGGGGAGGACCAAACATGGCTGTTAAATGCTCAGAGATGAATGGGTGTTGTCTACCCGGCTCTGGCTCCAGTTTGCAGCTGGGAAGGTCGATTCTGCACTCTGCAGAGCACTGCTTCCAACTAAAGTTGCTTCTGGTGAATGAGAGTTCTTGGAGCACATCAGGCTGTGTATACCCATGGTCACAGGAGCCATATACACATGTGCTCATTTGTTTTCTCCCCCCCCCCCCCCAAATATGGCCACACACAATTTATATTTGGACTACTCACACACTTTTTTTTTTTTTTTTTCAGACAGGGTCTCTCTATGTACCCCTGTCTGTCCTGGAACTCTATGTAGACCAGGCTGGCCTAAAACTCACAGAGATCCACCTCTGCATCCTGAGTGCTGGGATTAAAGGCATGTGACATTAGGCCTGGCTCCCCCATGCCCTAGGGTCTCACATAGCCCAAATGGTCTTGAACTTGCTATGTAGCCAAGGATATTCTAATTCTCCTGCCTCTACCTCTTCTGTGCTTAGGATGATGGGCCTGTGCCACCATATTTGAATTTTTTTTAACATACAGTGCTGGGGTTGGAACTAGGGGCTTCATGCACACTAGGCAAGCACAAAACCAAGCCACATTTCCACTCTGAGTGGGTTTGGCCATACAGGCCCACTAACCTCTGCCAGCACTTCCGGGGGCAGTGCCCCTGGTACAGTGTTCTGTTTCTTGAACCTGCGCAGCAGCTCCAGGCGCTCACGTTCACGGTCCACTGCTCGCTGGGCCTCTCGCAGCCGCTCCAGATCATGCTGGTAGGCCTGGCGCTGTCGCTCCAGCTCTGTGCGTTCCTGGTCCAGTCGCTGGCGCAGCTGGCGCGCCTCGCCCTCTCGCTCCTGCAGTCGCGCGCCTGCCAGCTCCAGTTCCTGCTGCTGGCGTGCCCGCTCCCGCTCCCATCGCTGCTGCTCCTGACGCAGCTGGCTCTGCAGCTTCTCCACACCCGCGCGCTCCTCACGCTGCTTCTCAAAGTTGCGTTGCCGCTCTTGCTCCAGCAGCAGGTTCCCACGTGTCGACTGCAGCCGGAACTGCTTCTCGCGCTCCTGGATGGCCATTCGTTGCATCTCCACATAGCTATCCTGTTGAGCGATGACTACCTGGGGACAGGGACAGGGGTGGGTCTGATGGGAGTCATGCACTTGGTTAGACCCAGCCAACCAGCCAAGGGCAGGAGCAGCCCAGTCCCTCCCTGATGCTGCAGGTACCTGGAGACTAAGAAGCAACTGCGACAGTGTCTGGACCCGGTGGACCAGCTGCAGAGAGAAAGCCAAATTGGTCTACCTGATGATGGTACATAGGGCATGTGGGCATGCTGTCCCTGTGGGAGATGGCGCAGGGGCGGTACCTCTGATTCCAGGATAGTGGGCAGACAGGAGCTACTCTCTGTGCTAGGCATCTCCACCTATGAGGGCAAGAATGAGAGTATCAAATGGGGTCTGAACCACCACAGCTCACTATGGGAGCAGACAAGTGTTTTGTATAAGAAACAGAACTCAGTGCCGGGCTGTGACTCTGAGGCAGAAGTCCTGTGGCTGTCTCCTGTACCTAGAGTCTGTTGGATGAAGGTGTGGGAAGCCTGGGAGACGGGTGGCTGGGTGGCTGATGGCAGCTCTACCGCAGGGTGGGCCTGGAAGTGAACCTTGTGTGGCTACTCCTGCAGTAAATACATATCTAGTTCAAGTTTCACACAGCTAGGGCAGGTAGCCTTAGCCTCTGGAAACCTCAGCAGTGTGGATGTGCTGAGTCAGACAAAGGTGGAGGGAAGTGCCAGTCAGGAGCACTGGCAGATGTCACCACACACTCTGGGTAGCTTGTGGAACCAATGTGGGGCTCTGGGCCTGAGGAAGTTGAGGCAACTATGTTGTGCCTATCCTCCCCTCTGCCTCCCTCCCAAGCCACTACTTGCCATTCCCAGGAGTCTGCAGGAGTAACCTTGAAGGCTGTCATGTTAGTGGCTGTTATGTCAACATGGATTGTCTTTACCCATGCAACCAAAATTACCAGAAGCCACTTACATCCTGTGGCGATTCCTCGCAGCAGCCACTGGGGGTGGTGGTGTCACAGAGGTTGGAGTCTGGGCTGTTAGCAGGCCCCTGCCAGTCTTGGGGCCTGGGGTCACTGTGGTACACCTTTCTTCTAAAGCTGCCACCTGGAGATCCCAAATAGATCACAAGAAGATGCTATGAATCCCACAAGGCTTGGGATCCTCTGAGCCCAGCCCATGTAATAAATGCAGGCTAGGGTATTCCTGGAGGCCTGCTACAGAGTCCTGGCTTTGTAGTACAGAGCCCACAATACCCAGAAGGCTGAGGAATGTTCTCAGGAATTACACTCCCAACTTTGGAGAGAGAACTCATGTTAAAGGCTAAGACTCACAGCTAACATTTCAGGAAATTTCACTGTACAGTACACTGGATCTGCCACTCATAAGCGTCCCAAGGCACAGCCTCAGAGGAAAGTGACATACTTACCCTTGCTGGGGCTGCCCACACTGTCATAGCCCCCAAAGGTCTCAGCCCTCCGAGGCAGGCCTGCAGAGACACCTCCCTCCTCCACTTGGCTATTGGTGTTCCCCAGGCGCCGGCAGATCAGGCTCTGGATGCCCTCAACTGTGAGGGAGAGGTGAAGGACATAAGTCAGCAGGTGATGGGGTTATACCACAGGTAGCAGGGCAGCCCAGACCTGAGCAAGGAGCAAGTGTGGCAGTGAGTGCTAGGATGAAGGGTACACACCACTACCTCAGCTTAGGCAGTGCTGAAGATAGAACCCAGTGCTAGGCAAACACTCTAACAACAGAGCACTATCCTGAGCCAATCTAGGCAATCAGGTAGCCATTGGGTTTGAAACAATTTATCTTGGGGGCAGGCTCCTTAAGATTCTGAAAGTTCTGAAGGGAGTCTTCTTAAGACTCAGGAAGTCAACAATGTACAAATCTCAGGAAGTTCCTGAAACTTACTAAAGTTTATATACAGAAAGGACTGATGGGGAGAAGAGGCTCTCCAACCTGTCTCGCCAACTTCACCTGCAAGTCTTGAAGAAAGCTTCAGGGTCCCAGCTTTCATTAGTCATCACCTAGGCTAGGGAGCTTTCAGTGATACAGCTGCCTTTTAACTTGTAAGGAACCCCTCACCCCTGCTTCCTGTAAGTGACCTAAACAAACTTAATGATTCACCAAGTTGTACTGGTGTTACTGTTACTTGGGTCTGTCATCAGTTCCCTATCTGGGCCTAGGGATGTGATATACCAGTCCTTACCTAGGTGTAGTAACAGATTTAACATATGTTAAATGAAGAGCTACCCAAGAGGGCTGCCCATGAGGGTAAGAGTGGTCTATATACCCTTCAATGGTCTGGTACTATTCGAAGTCTCTAGCCAGGCAAAGAGGCAGGGAAAATATTCCCAGCCCAAGTACCAGATTTGCCAGTGTTATTGGAGGCCATGAACAATAGCCACAGGAGACAGAGGTGAAAGGGCAGTGCAGGTGTTGCTGGGGAGAGCAAGACATCCATTGGGTCGTTGCTAATCTGTACAGGCAAATGGTTGAGTGGTCTGACTTGCTGATGGAAAAGATCCATTAAGCACTGGCTGCCCACTCTGCTTGACTGCCTGGGGCCCTGGTGACTACAATGGTACTGACTGGTAGGTGCTCCTGTAGGTAGCATTAAAGGCTTCCCTTACCAGGTCTATCTAGCTTTGAGGTTGGCAGAGGTGTCTCTGCATGGTCAGGCTAGAACTGTGTGGGGATAGCAGGTAATGTATACCTGTGGTTTATACCATGGCTGTTAAGCCTGGAAGCCTGCCAGAGCTAGAGGTAAGGTTCTGGCCCAAGGTTAGGCTCAAGTCTTATTCCCTCCCTGTGCCCCCCACCCCCCATCCAAATACAAGGTTGCCCAGGGAGTGTTTGTTGAATAAGTGCTTAAAGGATTTGGGTAGAGCTTAGCTGCAGAGCCACTGCACATGCTGGATTCCATTCCCTGGATTATGAAAAAAAAGCAAAATGACGGTGGTCCTGGATAAGCAACAGAGTACAGGGTCTGGCTTTAGTCCCCTAGGTAGCCCACCCTGAAATATCATAGCATAGCTCAGTGGGATGGTTGACTCACTCTCACTCATGGCCGATCTGAGAATCTGCTCCCCCCGTAGGGTTTCGGAGGGGTCTCCGCCTCCTCGGAAGAGGCCTTGATACTGGGCCGACTCTTCCAGCCCACTCAGCTGAGCCATCTCCAGGTAGATCTGCTGTTTCTCCAGAAGGCTCTGGGCAATCAGCTGGTCTTTCAGGCTCAGTCGCTCTACAGGAGAACCCAGAGGTGGCGGTCAGCCCTTGGAGTCAGGCTGTGAGGGTGGGGCCCTCAGCTGGACTGTGCCTTCAAAGGCCGACTCCCTATCCTCCCTCCAGCACCACTAGCTTTGTAGCGTGGTCCTAACCTCTTGACTGTTCCTCTTTTTTTTTTTTTTTTTTTTTTTAAAGTTTTATTTATTTATTTTATTTATGAGTACACTGTCGCTGTCTTCGGACACACCAGAATAGGGCATCCAATCTCATTATGGATGGTTGTGAGTCACCATGTGGTTGCTGGGATTTGAACTCAGGACCTCTGGAAGAGCAGTCAGTGCTCTTAACCGATGAGCCATCACTCCAGCCCCTTGACTGCTCCTCTTATCCCCACTGTGAACACCAAAGTGGAGGGTAAGAGGTCTGGAATAGAAAGCCTTGAAAGACCAAAAACAAAAACAAACAAAAAAACCCAACCAACCAAACAAACAAACAAAAAAAACCAAAACCTTTTTTTTTTAATTTAAAAACAATTTGTATTACATTTATTTGTGTATGTCTGTGGGCACACACACGTATGGAGGTCAAAGGACAACTTATGGGAGTCGATGCCTTCCATTCTGTGGGACCAGGGGACTGAATTTGGGTCATCAGGCTTGCCAGCAAGGGTCTACACACTGAGCCGTCTTGCCAGTCCAGTTTGTTGTTGTTGCTATTGTTTGGTTTTTAAACATTTACTTGCTGGGCATAGTGGCGCACACTTCTAATCTCAGCACTTGGGAGGCAGAGGCATCTCTGGTCTACAAGATGCAGCTAGGACTACATAGAGAGACCCTGTTTCAAAAAAACCTCCCAAATTATTTGTGTATATGAGCGTGCATGAATATATTTGGGTGTGCACATCTGTGCGCATGCTTGAAGGCCAGAAGAGGATGCCAGGTACGCATCTGTCATTCTGCCTGTTCATGTGAGGTAGGGTCTCTCCTCAAAACTGGAGTTTTGCTTTCTCACCTATGTTTTAAGCCAGCAAATCCTGGCAATCCTTGTCTCTGCCTGCACTTTTCAGACCTGTCGGTATGTGTGTGCATAGGACATCCGGCTTGTTCTGTAGGTGTTGGGTCTGAACTCTGGCCTACATGGTGATGCAGCAAGTACTCTTAACTGCTAAGCCATCTCTCCAGCCCTGTTTGTTTTATTGAGAGGATTTTATTTTCCCCCAGGCTGGAGCTTCCCCGTGCCTTGACTACCCATGGATTGTCAGGCTTGGTGGCCAGCTATCTTTACTTGCTGAGCTGTCCTGTCTGCCCAAAAAACAGAGGAGTTACTGACTGATTATGTTTTTGTTTTTGAGACACTGTCTTGCTGTAGATTCTTGGTTTACCTGGTAATTGTTGCGTAATACAGGCTGGCTTCGAATTCCCACCAATCTTCCCACCTTGGCCTCTTTGGGCTGGCCAGACGGCTCAGTGGTTAAGAACATTTGTTGTATGTCCACTACCCACACACATATACTACTACTATTAATTATTATTATTAATTATCATTATATTTATTTTTTGAGACAGTTTTTCTGTGTAGCCCTGGCTATCCTGGAACTTACTCTGTAGACTGGGCTGGCCTTGAACTCAAGAGATCTGCTGGCCTCTGCCCCACAAGTGCTAGGAGTAAAGGCATGCGCCACCACAGTCAGCTCCACTTACTTCTTTTCTTATTGTGCTGTTTCAGTTTTATACATCTACTTGTCTGTTTGGTCTTTAGCTCTGGCAAGCTTTGCTCACCACATAGCTGAAGATGCCCTTGAACTCCTGACACATGTCCCTGTGTATGTGGGGCTGGTGTTGGAACCCAGGGCAAGCTAGTCCACTATTGAGCCACATTCCCGGCCCTGAACTCAACTCTTAAAATTGAGTGAATCTTACGGTACATGCATTAAACCTCAATGAAGTGATAGACACTTGCTGTGGACCCACGGGTTACAAGAGGGACTGCCCATGGTGCTGACCCCTTTTACCTTGAAAGTCCCGGAGTTTCATGGTGCGGGCTTCAGCCATCTTTCTCTCCTCGGCCTCGCTGAAAACGCCCTCCTCCTCGTCAGGGCAGCTGCAGGGAAAGAGGACGGCTGCCATCAGTGTCTCGTGGGTTAGCTGTCCTGACATCAGCACTGCAGAGCATCCTCTTCCTGACCCTCTTATGCTGTCGGGATGGCTTGGGGGATAGTGGAGCCCTAGATCTAGAGGGGACTGTCTCAGCAGTGTAGGCAAAGAGTGACAGAGGATGTCCGGTAGCCTCTTGTGGCCTTGGGGCCTGAGTTCTGTCTCCAGGATCTACATGACAGAAGAGAATCACTGACAGGCAAAGTTGTCCTCTACCTCCACATGCATGGCACAGCTCACCACTCCAATAAAGACGTGGAACTATGAAAAAGATTCCTGAGGCAGGGCCTGTATCAGCTATAAAAGGCTCCCCCACTGACCTCCATCCCCACCCTGTACTTATGAGTTTTTGTTTTGTTTTCCAAGACAGGGTTTCTGGGTAGCCCTGACTGTCCTAGAACTCCTTCTGTAGATCAGGCTAGCCTTCAACTCAGGATCTACCTGCTTCTACCTCTCTGAACATGGGGATTAAAGAATGGTGCAAGGCACTGCCGCCCAGTTTTTTGTTTGTTTTGTTTTGCCTTTTAAAGACATCAGGCACCACACATCATCCCAGGGTAGCCTTGGATCTACTGTGGTCAAGGATGATGTTGAATTTCTGATCCTCCTGCCTCTACTACTCAGGTGCTAGAATAACAGGCTCGCACCAACAAACCGAGCTGATACGGTGCTGGGCTTTGCAGTGAGGGCTTTGTGCACACTGGGTAAACTATTAATAATGAATCATAGCCCACGTCCTGCACTTTTGTGGGGGACTCTGACTGGAGGAAGAGAAGGGAAGACAAGGACAACCAATGACACATGACAGTTCTCAAAGAGGTGACTTGTGATCCTTCTGCCTCAGGTTCCTGATGAGGAGTGTAGGCATGCACTGAGCTCAGCTTCTTGTATTCCTTCTCTAAAAACTATTTATTATTGGATTTAATTTATATGTGTGTGCATATGCCACGTATGTGCAGGTACCTGTGGGTGCCAGAAAAAGGTATTAGATCCCCTGAATTAAAATTACAGGCAGTTGTGTGCCACCCTATGTGGGTACTTGGAACTTAACCTGGGTCCTCTGCAAAAGCAGTAATCACTGTTAGCCACTGAATTCTCTCTCTAGCCTCTCATGTTTAAAGTGCCCGGCTGTGGCACAGAGGTGGCCACTTCCAGTCAGGAACTGGAGCTAAGAACCACTCAGAGCTAACATTACTGAGCATGGTGGGAGTGTAAAGCTGGAGGCTGGCTACAGCTCCCCACGCCCACCTCTCAGGAAGGCTCTAGTGCAGGCAGGTGGAAGAGAGCAGGCACTGGGCTGGGATCTGGAGGGCACTCAGTCCAAGAAATAAAGGTAGGGCATTACAACATGCTCCAACAAGGCTGGCCTCAAGCTGTGTATCTGAGTGGCCCACAATGAAGGTCTAAGTTAGAATTGCCTGGCCCCTCATTCGCTGGGTGCAGAGATACCCAGGCCGTTTTAGCATGGTGACAGGTTGCTATGATGAGGAGTAGACTCCATTAGTTCACTCAGGAGAAGTGCTAGGATGCTCACTTAGCACTCGTGAAGCTTAGGTCCCACCCCTGGTACTGCATATGCTGGGTATGGTGGTGGATTCCTTTCATCCCAGTACCTGGTGGAGGCAGGAATAAGGGTCATCATTGGCTACAAAGTGAACTGGAGCAAAGCCTGGGCTGCAGGAGACTGTTTCTCAAAATCAGCCAGCCAGCCAACCAACGAACCAACGAATTAAGTGGTCTGTCTGGGAGGTCAAGGTCACAGGTGAGCATCTAGCCTGAGGAGGTAGGAGATCCTGGCTTGTCTTACCTCTCCACAGCTCGGCGGATGTGGGCCATCCAGATGTTCCTGTCCTCTTTGGAGCTGGTATAGATCTCGTACATTTCTGGCCCCTGCATGGAGGCGCTGATCAGAAACATGGCCTTCTCTTCGTTGGCTACCTCTCTCACGATGAGCTTTTGCAGAGAGATGACGGGTGGCTTTGAGTCCTGTGTGGAAGAAGGTGATGGAAACTTCACTGTTGTCTTGCTATATCCAAAACCTTTAGAATTCTGAGTCTGGAGAGAGGGGCACTATAGTGGAGGACTAAGAGGGGAACCATGGCCAGACTCCCAGTGTGTATACACATTCTCACGGAAGGCAGAAGATCATCTTGGCTGTTGTTCCTCAGGTGCCATCTACTTTGGTTTCTGAGACAATGTCACAAGGGTGCTTGGTAATCTTGCTGGGCAGGTGGCGATGAGCCCCAGGCATCTGCCTCCCCAGCACATGGTTACCAGTGTGTGCCACCACATCCTACATTTTTGTATGGATTCTGAAGAGTGAATTCTGGACTTCAAGCACTAAACTCTCATGCCAGAGCAAAGCAGAAATGGTTCACTAACTGGAAACTTTTCAACCAATATCCTAGTATTCTTTTTAATGGGTTTTGTTTGTTTTTGAGGCCTTAAACTCACTGTGAAACCTTGCTGGCCTCAAATTTACAGTGATCCTGTCTCAGTTTCCCAAGTGTTGGGATTTCGGGTGTGCACCACCATGCCCAGAAAAGGGCACCTCTCTCCCTCTCTCTTTTTTTTTTTTCCTTTTTTTTTTAAAGGCAAGGTTTCTCTGTGTAACAGAGCCCTGACTGTCCTGGACTCACTTTGTAGACCAGGATGGCCTCAAACTCACAAAGATCTGCCTGCCTCTGCCTCCCAAGTGCTGGAATTACAGGTATGTGTCACCATACCTGGTCTCTCTTTTATTATTAATATTTTTTAACACTTGTGTATATGTACACATGTATGCACAGTGCACTTGTGGAGACACACTCACACATACTCACCCCCCACCCCCCGCCTCCTGAGTACTAGGATTAAAGGCACAAGGGAAGACAAGAGGGTATGGGAAGATGGTGGTGATTGTATATTTCCCGGAAGCTTAGGGCCCACCGTCAAGTCTATTAGTGCCACAAAGTCTCCTGACAGTATGAGAGGCCACAGCTATCACGGTGGACATCTCTGCTTTCTGTGAGACTGTGGTGGCATAGAGGTGTGCTGGGCTGAAGAACGTTTGTGACGGAATAACCTGACCCAGTGTGTGATGGAATAACCTGACCCAGTTTGTGGAGAGGTGGGAATGGGTGACAGATGGGAGGCTTCTGAAGTGCTTTAAGATCCACATACCAACCCTGGCAGTGCTTACCACTCTGAGCCTGAGGGGACAGATCAGTAGATGGGATCTTTCACTGCAAGGGATTCCTTCTCTGCCCTAGAAAACACTAAGTGGCCGGCCTTGGCACATCTCCACTCCCGCAGAGACTGCGTCCTTCTCTTTGATTAAGGGATAGTCTGCTTTGGTAGAGGGCAGGATTGTCTTTTGTTCACATCTCACCACTTTCTCTCCCGATCTAACACTTTGTGCTGAAAGCCTGGGAGGGGTTGGGGCACCACACCCAGCTCTTTGCTTTGGTCCACCTTTCCTCACTCCCTTTTCCCATCTCCCTCCTTTCTCTGACACCCAGCCATGGGGCCATGGCCACTGGCCAGGCTTACTCAGGGACTGAACAGTTGCCTGTTCCGACACAGAACCTCTAGGTCTCGGTGTCTTTTGTTCTTTGTCCATGTAAATGGTGCATATCCCAAAGAGTCCATGTAAGTGTGCCACCTAAACTCAGTTTAGGTCCTTCTCTTCAGCTCTGTGTCCCCCCAACCCCCAGCCCCTTCTCTACAGACCTCCAGAGCAGAGGCCTTTCACTATTTGCCTCACCAGCCTACTTAACATCTACACACCAAGGTAGGGTTCTTTTGGCCAGACCCTGGAGTCTGTGAGTACCCAGGGATGTTGGGCAGCAGGAGAACCACAGAAAAGTGATGAGGAGGCTGGGAAGACTGAGGATGCTTGAGATTCTGGGTTAGGGGCAGCAGCCTTGCCCTTTCTCCCTAGGCTCATAGTTTACAGGCTGGCCCCTCACGCCTCCCCACTTCCTGGTATAGAGACTGTCTGTGAATCTGTATGGGGCTCCTTGGGCACTCCAGGAAGGAAGTGCCTGCCTCCAGACCAGACACTGCTCAAGTTCTGCCCACCTGCAGCTCCGCTGTCTCCATCCTCAGAACAGATTCTGGCATCTCTGCTGCCATGGGAGGGGACAGACATCTGTCTCAAGAGTCAGTAAAGACTCCCCAGGGACCATTCCAGAAGAATGACACATGGTTCTCACTTCCTCAAGTAAATTCACATGCCTCAACTAGATGTGCTCTTCCTCCTCACATCCTCCCAACGGAGCACTCCTACCATGGAATTCTGTCCCTCTGGTCTGCCACTGGGACATCAGAGACAGCTTATGTGAACCCTTGCTCCCCGTTCCTCTCATAACTATAAAAAACGGTCCCTATTCTGCCTCTTGATCCTGAACCCTGTTTAGAGCCTCCTCCATCCTGCCAAATGTCTGTACGCTTATGGAATTACTAATTTTAATAAACTTCTTACCCAATGACAGTTTACCCTTGTGTCCTGCTTGAGGCCCTCCCACCAGAGACCTTCCAGTGAGAATTGGCGTCACACCAGGGATTGATTCTCTATAAGTTCTACCCCTGACTGTCTAGAACCTTCTGGAAGGATCCTGATGAGACAGGGAGCCTCTCAGTGTATTTTCCTTCTCCCTGCTTTGTCATGGGCATCCCCCTTCATTGGGCCCACCACTGTACTGTACCAGTGAGCAGGACCCTTGAAGACTCAGACACATACCACAGAAGCAAAGACATATTTCTGATCCTTTTCTTGGAGCAGCAAAAGCACATCGGTCAGCAGGACAGCGAGGACATCTGCAGAGACCAGCACACAAAGGAGGGTCTTAGTGGTCACATGTCCAAAGGGGCCCGGGACAGCTTAAGCACCAGGATGCTTCAGCTTCTCGTTCTACAAGTTCCAATTCTAACTCACCCCTTTCCAAAGTTCCTGAGTTTGGAGATTCAGTGGCAACGAATGCCAGAGGCTCTCCTCAGACGGTGACTTCAGTGGATCCTGCTCAGACTGCTCAGAACTAGGCCAGAGCTCCAGGGTGCCATGCAGTTCTTTAAGGATTCATTTTTAACTGTGTGTGTGTCTGCACGCATGTGTGTAGGTAGGTGTCTCTGTGTGGTTTAGTGCATGTATGTGCAAGTGCTCTCAGTGAGTGGCTAGAGGTGCTGGACCCTGGAGCTGGAGTAACAGGCAGTTGCAAGCTGCCCAGTGTGGGTTCTGGACACCAAATTTAGAGTCGTCTACAAGAGCAGCGGATACTCTTAATGGCTGTGCCATCTTTCCAGCCCCTCATTTATTACATTACTACTTTGTGTATATAGGTGGCATGTGCAGTATTTATAAACTGTGTGTGTGTGTGCACTAGGGGTTGATATAGGGTATCTTCCCTGGTCATTTATTTTTTATTTATTTATTTATTTTGTGTATTATTAGTTTTGTCCTTCCTCCACATGTGGGTCAGGCATTTAACTCAGATTGTTAGGCTTGGCAACAAATATCAGTGGGTAGTGGGCTACCTTGTCAGCCTGAGTTTTTAGACAGGGTCTCTCACTGAACTGGAGACTCGTTTATTCGGTTAGGCTGGCTGGCCAGTTAGCTCCAGGTATCTGACTGTCTGTCACACCCTGGCACTAAGGTCACAGGCATATGCCACCATGCCTGCTAGGGATCAATTCAGGCCAGCGTTCTCTTTGTTGAAAAGGACTTTTCTTTCTGCCCCAGGTCATATCTTGCCTCAGGCCCTCTGAATCCCAGTCCTGCTTGGTGTCCTGTCCCTGTATGATGGTGTAAACATCTCTCACAGTCAATTTTGCACATGAGTGTCATAGGGAGCCCTTTTCTTCTTCTCTTTTGAGACGGGGTTTCATGGATCCTGCTCTGGCCTCAAACTTGCTATATAGCTGAGGACAAACTTGAATTCCCAATCTTCTTGCTTCTACTTCCCTAGAGCTGACAGTCACTACACTCAAGTTTACTTGGGGTTGGAGATAGAAACCAGGACCCCATGAATGTGAGGAAAGCATTAACAACTGACCTGCAACTCCATTCCAGGATGAGCCATTTCTGAGGATCTTGTCTAAATTAAACATTTCCTCTGTCCTGTTCTCTGTAGCCCACTGGCTGATTAATTAAGACTTGAAGGCATTCAAGTGTTTCAAGTTTGGTTGTGTTCCTATCTCTTAGCTTGACGACAATTCAAGATAGAATACCAATCTAAGATAGAGCCCAGCACTCTAAGGTGGCGCCTATCACTCTAACATGGCAGCTGGAGCTCCAAGCTAGTTCCATGCAGAGCTAGAGGTGGCCAAGGCAGAGATTTACCTTTCAAGCGCCCTGATGTGGACTTCCAGCACAGGGTGCCTTCCAGGTGGAGCTGGCGCTGCTGCATGTCCTCCTTCCGGAAGGTTAGCCCGTTCTTGAGTTTGCTGGAGGACTTCAAGTCCATTTTGGCTGCGATCTCCTTGAGGCGCTGGTCCTTCTCACACTCACTGACTTTGGCGTCCACTTGTGAGATGATGTCTTTGATGAGGCTCAGGGCCTGGCTCAGGTCTTTGTAGTCCTCGGTGCCGGCTGTCACATGTAAGCAGAGATAGCACTGGTTTCTGTGCCCATGCTCAGATACACAGAAGCTGATGTACTTGCTGTGTCTGGATCTATGAGGTGTGCTTCCGAGGACCACTGCTCAGAGAGTTACGGGCCTGCGATACCACACTTAGCTAGTTTTGTTTTGTTGCTTTGTTTGAGACAGGGTCTCTCTACATGCCTCAGCTGCTGTGCAACTCACAGAGATCCACCTGCCTCTGCCTTGAGTGCTGTGACTAAAGGCTTGAGCCACTATTCCTGACCTGTACATTTTTGTGTTGAGACAGGTCTTGTCCTGTAGCCCTGGCTAGCCCAGAATTCAGTGTCAATCAGACCGGCCTCAAACCTCCAGATCCTCCTACCTCCGCCTACATTCTGGAAGAATGTTGGGATTACAGGCATGTGCTACCATGCTTGGCTTAGAGTTTAGCTTTTGCTCAAATGCAAACGTTAAGGCAAGGTGGTTCAAATGGCATAAACTATGCAGCACAGTGCACGTACCCCTACCACTGTTGTATACAGATCCCCCTCCTGTCCTTTAGCTCTTCATATAAAGCTTCCTTCCACCTCCTGCTACAGCAGAGAGAAGCCCCTCCCACCTGAAGGACACAGTAGGTGAAGGGACTCTTGCCAGCCAGAACATGGCAAACATGGCTTTGGAAGGTCTTGCCCTTCTCCCCCATTCCCTTTGCCTTGCTAAAAAAACAAAACAAAACAAACCCAAAACATTAAATAACATTCCTAAAGGTAGCCACCAAGTATTTGGCCACTTCCTCCTTCTGAGGCTGACTACCAAGGTCTAGCTATCAAAGTATTGAAGTTCAGCAATCACAAAGCCCTTAGTGGCTGCCCTAATTAACTTCTCCAATTAAAATTAAACACCTCATCCTAACACACGGGCTTCCCCCTTTATCTTTATGTGCTTCCATTTGCCTATGGACCACATCTGTTTCCTCTCTATCCACAGGTAGTCCTTTGTCCCTCCAGGAATAATATCCTTTCCCCTTTTCCCTTGTTCTCTTCCCACTCTCCCTTGTGCTCTGTCTCCTGCCTCTTGTCTCTTATCCCTTCCTTTTGTCCTCTGGGGCAAATATATCTCCTTGGGCAGGGAACTTGATCTTGGGGTGTCTTCAGCTGATACCGGTCTCTTTAGTAAGGAAACTTCTTCCTATTTTCACATGGCCCAAACCTACCAGAAATATGGAAAGCGGTGGTCACCATGGTGGGCCCCCAAGAGCACCTGGAATGCTTTCTGACCTTTTTACTGTGTTCTCTGTGGCTATCAGCATGTCATCCTTTCTTCTGTTTGAGTTTTGAATCAGGATCTCGTAATGTAGCCCAGGCTGGTGTAGAACATGTGGCTCTTCCTGCCTATGTGCTGTGTAGCAATTTCCTCTGAACTGAAACATTCTATCCTGGAGGGAAGCTGTTAAAACTCAGAAAGTAAACAACTCCCAAGTCTCAGGAAATTCCCTGAAACTCACCAGAATCACACAGTTGATCTCTCTAAGATATAAGCAATGAGGACTGCCAAGGAGAGGATACTCTCCAACATGTTTAGCTGTCTGTAAGATCTGCAGAGAACTCCAGCTTTCTTGAGTCCTAACCCATGCTGGGGTAGTTTTTGGTGAAGCAGCTGCCTTTGAGTCACCCCTACTCCTATAAATAACTACATATCCATACTCTTAAGTACCCTCAATAAAGTCATTGGCTCATCAAGCTGTACTTTGGTGGTAGGTTAGATTGGTCTATTGTCAGTTCCCAAATCCTATTTGAGCTAAGTGACATTTATTAATGTCACACAACACAAGGCCCCTGAGAGAATATCTGTGCCTACTGCACCCAGCTCAGATTTTGCCCTGGCCATTTAACACAAGACCTTTCTTCTTTTCTTTCTTTTTTCCTTTTTTCTTCTTTCTTTCCTTGTTATTTTCTTTTCTTCTTTTCTTTTAACTTAAATTTACATTTTTACAATTTTATTTTAAATTTATAGGTATTGTCTGCATGTATGTCTGTGCACCATACATACAGAGGCTATGGAGGTCATCAGATTCCCTAGGAACTGGTGTTATGTATGGCTGCCACCATGTGAGTGCTAGATCTCAAGCTTGGGTCCTCTGGAAAAGAAGCTGGTCTCTTAATGGCTGGGCCATCTCCAGACCCAGAAATCATCCAATAACCCAAGAATCATCTTGTTTTTGTATGGTTCAAGTCTAGTTTAGAGATACTGACCTGGGACCTGCTTCGGCCCAGCATTTGCTAAGGGCAGAGGCTCACCTAGCTCCCCTTTTCCTGTGCCGAGTGCCTGGCACTCAGTATAGGGGTGTACAAGAGGTAACTTGGCCAGGCCATTGATAAACTCCAGAGCTGGTGGGCTGAGGCACCAATCCACCCAGACCCAGGGGTATGGCAGACCCAGGGGTATGTTCCCACCTTCTGTGTTCTGGATGATGCGTTCCACTAGCACCGGGTACTTGGTTATACGCTGTGTGACCAGAAGGATACACTCCTGTACTCCCAGACGTCGCACAATGGAGAAGTTGCCAATTTTCTGGAACGGTAAAAAAACAGCTTATTTCAATTTTTTTCTGCCTTCTTCTTTAATTTTTTCTGGTATTTTTGAGACAGGGCTCTCCATGTGACCCTGGCTGTTCTCTGCCAACCACTGGCTCCTGAGCTGTGCTACCATGCCTGGCTCTCCTTCTGTCTTTCCTCACTCCTCTGTCTTTCTCCTCTCCTTTCCTCTCCTTCCTTCCTCCCTTCCTTCCTTCCTTCCTCCTTTCTACTTCCTCAACCCCTTATATTTGTGTTTGAACTCAGGCCCCAAGCATGCTGAACAAATACTCATTACTAAGCTTATCTCAAGACAGATAGACAGACAGTTTGGTGATTATTGGCATGCACTGTTATGCTGGCTAACATCTTTTCGGGGCGGGGGGTAATCTGTATGAGTGTGTGTTCACAGACCGGAAGAGGGCATCAGGATAGCGGTTCTTCTCTGCCACTCTTCACCTAGTTTTTTTTTTTTTTTTTTGAGATACTGTCTTAGTCTGCAGACCAGGCTGGCCCCTGACCCCTTAATGCTGGGATTAGAAGCCTATTTGACCATGCTCTTTGAGATAGTCCCTCCTGAACATGGAGTTTCTGTTTGTTTTTTTTTGGTCAAGGCTAGATACCAATATGTCTTAGGGATTCTCTTGTCTTCCCCAAACTCCACAACAGAGTTGGGGTTACAGGAATGTGCTGGAGGCCAGACTTGTTCTGGGATACACACTTCTAACTGACAGCTGAGTAGCAGGCACTAAGAACTGCTAAGCCACCTTTCCAGGCCTTTTTATGTTTTTTGATAACAGTGTAGATTTTGAGGGATTCTTCTGCATTAGTTTCCTTGAGAAGCTGAGATTACAGACCTGGACTACCAGGTTCAGCGTTCTATTGAATCAGTTGAACCATCTCAGGCCAGGGGCTCCTGCCCTTTCACCTTTGCTCTGACCCTTTTCTTTCTTCTACAACCCCAAACAGAGGTTGCCTTCTAAGTAAAAGGCCTCAGATGTGTAGGCACTCAGTAAAATTGTTAAAGAGGGACTTAAGTCAGGTGTGTTGGGGCCTGCCTGAAATTCTAGCACTGGGGAGGCCAAGGCAGGAGGATCTTGAGTTTGAGGCTAGCCTGGGCTACTAAACAAATAAAAACAAGAGTAGAAATGTTAAGGTGAGGGTAGTGCAGTGTAAAGCTAACATCTGGAACTCAGAGCAGGGGATCAGTAATTTTGGGTTAGCCTGTGCTACAGAGAAAGTTGTAGAGCAGCCTGGGATCTGTAGGCAAGATTTTGTCTCAAAATAAGAAGACAAAAGGCTCAAGGCATGGCTCAGTGGTTAACAGCACTTAACTGCTCTGAAAAAGGTCCCAGTGCCGACACGGCTCACAGTCACTAGGAACTACAGTTCTAGGAGGTCTGATGATTTCTGGGACAAATACATCCATATAAATATAAACTCCTTTTTTGTTGTTTGTTTTTAAAAAAAGACAAGTATGAAAGTATGTTCCTAGCCGGGCGGTGGTGGCGCACGCCTTTAATCCCAGCACTTGGGAGGCAGAGGCAGGCGGATCTCTGAGTTCGAGAGTTCGAGGCTAGCCTGGTCTATAGAGTGAGTTCCAGGACAGCCAGGACTACACAGAGAAACCCTGTCTCGAAAAAAAACAAAAAACAAAAAACAAAAAACAAAAAAACAACAAAAAAAGAAAGTATGTTCCTGTAATCTCAGCACTTGGGAGATGGCAGCAGGACTTCAAAGTCATTCTGGGCCACACAGTGAGTTCAAGGATAATCTAGGCTACATGAGAAACTTTTTCAAAATAAACAAAAAAGAATGAAACAAGAAAACAAACTAACAGGAAAGGAAGAATCAGTTATGGACTAATTCTGAGGAATACAAATTGGGTATCCGGTGTGTATTCACATTTGTGCACACGCAAACCCTGATCCTTGATCCTGGCTGATAGCTCATATCCTAGAATCCTGTAGGACCAGACTGGCTTTCTGGTCACTCTTGATTTACTTACATATCTTTAAGGAAGAATCAAAGTGGCACTTAAACCTCTCTCCTGGTGGGGGCTGCGAGCCGCTCCTTGTACTCTGCCTAGCACACTGGACACTCTAGGGGGCTCACTCCACTGCTCTTTAAGGGATGGGAATGGGTCAGCAAAGGGAACAGCTGCCTTTTTTTCTTTTTTTTTTGAGACAGGGTTTGTGTTCCTGGCTGTCACTTACTTTGTAGACTAGGCTGGCCCCAAACTCAGAGATCCATCTACCTCTGCCTCCTGACTGCAGAGACTAAGGGCATGTGCCACCACTGCCTGGCTCCTCCCAAGCCCCTTTTAAGGCCAGGGTCATACATGGCCCAGGTTGGACTCTCTATGTAGCTTAGGGTGACCTTGAACTTCTAATCCTCCTGCTCTTACCTAGCATTGAGATGACTTACACCTGTTTTGTTTGTTTTTAGTGTTTTTTTTTTTAAACACACACACATATTTACTAAGTTTTGTGTGTGCGCCCCTGTGTAGGGGTTAGAGAACAGCTTTCAGAATCAGTTCTCTCCTTCCATCACGGGACCAAACTTAGGTCGTCAGGCTTGGCAACAGCCAAGCATCTTTACCGTCAGCCATGTCAACATCCCAGTGTCATCCTACAAGCCCCGAGGGTCACAGGGACCAGCCAGAGAAGAAAGGTTTAACAGAGTGCATGCCTCACAGAACTTGAGGAAGATGGCAGTAGCTCTGAAGGGTGGTTCCTCAGTGGGACAATGGCACACAGCTGCGTGTTACGGCATGAGCCTGCAATTCTAGCTTGAGGCTAACCATAACTATATACTAATCTCAAAAGTGACAGCTGAGGGACAAGGCTCAGCCGGTGGTGTGCCTGAAACCCTGGGTTCCATCCCCACTGGCACATAAACTGGCTGTGGTGATACAGTCCTGTCACCACAATACTTGGTAGGGCAGAGGCAGGAGGATCATGAAATCAGGGTCATCCTTGGCTACAGAGGTTTATGGTCAGTATGGACTCCAGAAGAGCCTGTCAGCAAATGAATGAATGATGGTGGTACACCCCTGTAAGCACTGACCTTGGGAGGCTGAGGCAGGAGGATCTGCAAGTTTGAAGCCAGACTGGGATACACAGTGAGACCCACATAAAGCCAGGTATAATGGTGTGTGTCTGTAATCACAGTACTTTAAAAGTGAGATAGGAGGCAGAGACAGAAGACTCCCAGAAGCCCTAAGGTCAGCTAGCCTGGTAGAGAACAGGCGTTACTATGTTAAACAAAGCGGAAGAGAAGAACCAACATCTAAGGTATCCTGTGGCATGGTGCATGTGTGTGTCCACACAAACACCCACCCCCCAACACATCCACATCCCCTCATACACATGAACACAAAATTTTTTGTTTGTGTGCATGTATGTTTGTTTTTTTTTTTTTGGTTGTTGTTGTTTTACCTTGATTAAGTTTTGAAACTTCTTGCTCTGCTGCAGCAATAACTTGTAGTGACTGACCGCATCTTTGTGGCCACTACAGAACACGCCGTATTTCTCCTTCATTCTCTCCCCGGTTTCTCCTGAGAACTAACATGGAAGGAAGACAGAAAAGTTAAGCAGAAAATGAACTGTGACTGCTTCCACCCGGCTCATCTGCTCATGCTGAGACCTGCATTTCCCTGACCATTCCCTCCTAACACCTCCTTGGCCTGGAGCTTACTGGATGCCTCAAGGCAAGGTATAAGGCGGTAGGAAGGGTCTTGAGCTCTGCCTGTCCCCATTCTCCAGGTGCTTCTTCTGGTCCACACCGTCGTCAGGTGGCCTAATCTACTGCTACGGACTGAGTCCTACAAGTAAAATCTCCCTTTCATAACCATCATCTGCAATGAGCACGGCATGACTTCCTTCGGGTTTAGTGAAGGGTTTTCTTAGGCTGTACGGCTGGCTTCAAACGCTTGATCCCGCTCCCTTCTGTCCATCCTGTCCTAGGATCAGAAGGAGCAGCAAAAGTAAGGAGACCTACGGTGGATGGCTCTGGCCCGAGGAGACGGCTCAGCGGGCACAGGAAAGTAGTAACGACACTTGCTCCTAAGTCTGATGACCTGAGTGAGCCCTGGAGCTGCATGGTAGAAGGAGAGGACAATTCCTGAAGACCCTCCTCTGACTTCCTCAGGTATACCATGGCGCATGCACGGCTACACATATGATAAATGATTATCTTCTTCTCCCTCTTTTCTTTTCTTTCTTTTTTTTTTTTGGTTTTGCAAGGCAGGCTTTCTCTGTGTATCCCTGGCTCTTCTGGGACCCACTCTGTAGACCAAGGCTGACCTCGGACTCAGTGATCCACCTGCCTCCTGGGATTAAAGGCATGTGCCCCCACTGCCTGGCTTATAAGTGATTATCTTTAAAAAAAAAAAAAAAAAAGCACGTTAATGATGGAGGACACCTGACATCAACCTCTGGCCTCAGCAGGCACCTGCACTGGTATGCGTATACTACCCCCTAGCAGCTAGGGGCTGGAGACAGAACTCATTAAAGTATCTGTATAGCATACCGGAAGCCCTGGCCACGATCCCCAGTGTGGCATAAACTGGTTATGTGGGAACATCAGTAATCCCAGCCCTCAGGGAGGGAATCACGAGGGTCACTTCAAGGTTCAAGCGAGGTGAGCAACAAGAGGTCCTGTCTGAACCTCCTGTCTCCCACAAAACCCAACAAAACACCAACCAACGAAGCAGAATCATACAACTTTTTTTTTTTTCCCCCTTTTGGGATAGGATCTCTAGGCCCCAGGATGGACTTCACCTCACCATGTCCCACTATGTCAAAGGTGATGATGACAATGAAATCCTGATCCTCCCAAGTGGCAGAAACCAGCATGCCTAGCATGCTGTGCTGGGGGGGGGGGGCGCTCCAGGCTTTCTGCATGCCAGGCAGAGCTCTACCAACTGAGGTAGATCCCTAGCTGAATGCAAGGGTTCCTGAGATATGAGCAATCTGGACAGGAGCTGGCACTGTGTGCTCTCTGGGAATGGTGGGCGTGTAATATACCAGCGCCATCAACCTTACCACCAGAGAGAAGGAAGACAGGGTGGAGACAGGTGTGGCCCACTCTGGCCAGAGGACCTACCTGCTGAACCAGGACATCTCCGATCTTCTGGATGACGTAATTCCGATCACTGCCCTCCTCTAGAAACTCCTGCCGGCGCTCCTTAAGGCGGGCAAGGAAGTGGCTGTGCATGTCCAGTAAGTCATCAGCGCAGGGAAACAGGCGGCTGACGGCCTGGCCACTGAACTGCAGCTCCTCCTGCAGGGCTCTGGAGTAGACTTTCAGCATGATCTTCAGTGTGCGCACGTGATGTGCCTCTGTCTGCATCAGCTCTGCAGGGACAGAGGCGTGGGAAGATTCACCTTACCTCCCAAGATTCTCACAGCTTCTGCAGGCCTGCTGTAGCTGGATTGACCCTGCCAGCTCTCGGCCCATGTCCCTGACCCTGTGGCTGGACCCATGTATGTGCACACACTCTCTCTTTTTCTGTGTGGTCCACGTGTACACATACGTTTATATATGTGAGTGCATATGGAAGCTGGGGGCTAACGGTCAATGTTTGCTGTCTTCCTTGATCGCCTCCACTAAAGCTTTTTTCCTCCCTTAGGCTGTGCCTGGCAACACACATGTTTAATCCCAGCATGCTGGAGGGATCGACAGACCGATCTCTGCACTCAAGAGCAGCCTGGTCTACTAGTGAATTCCAAGCAATTCCAGGGTTACACAGTAAATCTTTCTATCTTTAAAATAAAAAAAAAAAGGTGGTGTAAACTGGACAGATGGCTCAGTGGTTAAGAGTACTTGTTGCTGCTCTTGCAGAGGACCAGGGCTTCGTTGCTAGCACCCACATGGAGGCACACAGCCACCTCTAACTTCATTTGCAGGGCATCTGATGTTCTTACTAGCCTGTGTCATTACCTGCGTCCACGTGGTACACACGCATATACTAAGCCCCACCCCCCATGTCATATAAAATAATAAATATTTAAGAAATTACATTAGAAATAGAAAATAGGACTACAGAAATGGCTCAGTGGCTAAGACCACTGGTTGTTCTTCCAAAGGACCCAGGTTTGATTCACAGCACCCACATATAACAGCTCACAACCATCTGTAACCCCAGTTCCTGAGCATCTAGTATCCTCTTCTGGCATTCTTGGGGCACCAGGCACAAAAGTGGTGCCCAGGCACACATGCAGGACAAACATGCACATACATTAAAGGAAAAGAAAAGTTTCAAGCCTATGTTGGTATCAAGCCTATGTTGGTAAAAGTGCATGTCTAATAAGCACATGTAAACATGTTAGGCCACATATTCTCAGGCCTAACAATTTGTGCTCAATTCCTAGGACCCATGTAATAGGAGAGAATCACCTCCTACAAGCTGTCCTTTGACCTCCATACCTGCATCACAGTATATAAACAAATATCTTCAATTTGGCACGTTTTTCCTCTGTGTGTCTGCACACATGAAAAGCCCAGAAGAGGAGGTCATGGGTGTCCCCCCATGGACCACGTTATGCTCTGGCTAGCTAGTTCGTGGAGTGCTAACCGTCCTCCTGTCTCTGCTCCTGCCTGATGTTAGAGTTCAGCAAGAATCCATGGCCATGCCCAGCTTCTCGCAGGGGAGCTGGGATCCAGCTCAGGCTTCTATCCCTGTGTGGTAAAACCCTCCAAACCACTTCCCCAGCAAAGTTTGCTTGCTGGTCAGCAGCAGAGCCCGAAGGATCCTCTAATCTGCAGCCCCCTCCCCCACGCTGAGACATCTGTGCACCCGTGTTGCTATGCCCAGTTTTTCACATGGGTGCTGGGATCTGAACTCAGGCTTGTGCACCTCCAGCCTTTGTCTCTTCCCTCTTTTTGACACAGGGTCTTGGGATCGGAGGAACCGTAGCTAAGTAGCACTAGCCTCACACACACTGGGCCCTAGGTTCTAGTCAGTTACTTCGCAAACAACAAAATGAACAACAGAAAAGAAGGACGAGTCCTGAGTAGATAAGGATGTGCACAAGGCTACGGTCTATCCTCAACACCTTAAAAACCTGGGTGTTGCACTGTGTTACTGAAGTCTGAGTACTTGGAAGGCAGAGGCTGGGAGGCGAGGAGGTTCAGTGATCCTTTCAGTACCGCTAGGGAGCAGGGAGTGACTGACTCTTCAAAACATCTTCCCTGCATAGTAACAACAGGTGTATCCCATCACACTTGGCCTTTAGCCTTTCTTAATTAGAAGCCTCCCCTCCCCATAGTGCTATGTGAATCCGAAGCCAAAGCAGATGCAAAGAAAAAAAAGTATTTAGGAATGTGCTGTGGAACCTCAATGTCCCAGGAGCCCCTGTCCTTAATGTCAGGAAGGCCATGCCGAGGAACTTCTAGCATTGGTAGGTGTGAAGCTTGCACGTCTCTGAATACATGCGATCAAACACAGACTTCAATGGACCCTGAACTCAATGTCTGCAGTCCATTCATGTGCTGAAAGGTAACCTCCATGTTACTAATAGGCATGTTACTAATAGGCGTGTTTCTAATAGGCGTGTTACTAATAGGCATGTTGCTAATAGGCATGTTACTAATAGGCATGTTGCTAATAGGCATGTTACTAATAGGCATGTTGCTAATAGGCATGTTGCTAATAGGCATGTTACTAATAGGCATGTTACTAATAGGCGTGTTTCTAATAGGCGTGTTACTAATAGCCGTGTTTCTAATAGGCATGTTGCTAATAGGCATGTTACTAATAGGCATGTTACTAATAGGCGTGTTTCTAATAGGCGTGTTACTAATAGCCGTGTTTCTAATAGGCATGTTGCTAATAGGCATGTTGCTAACAGGCATGTTGCTAACAGGCATGTTGCTAACAGGCATGTTGCTAACAGGCATGTTACTAACAGGCATGTTTCTAACAGGCATGTTGCTAATAGGCATGTTACTAATAGGCATGTTACTAATAGGCATGTTGCTAATAGGCATGTTACTAATAGGCATGTTGCTAATAGGCATGTTACTAACAGGCATGTTACTAATAGGCATGTTACTAATAGGCATGTTACTAATAGGCATGTTGCTAATAGGCATGTTGCTAATAGGCATGTTGCTAATAGGCATGTTACTAACAGGCATGTTGCTAATAGGCATGTTACTAATAGGCATGTTACTAATAGGCATGTTGCTAATAGGCATGTTGCTAATAGGCATGTTACTAATAGGCATGTTACTAATAGGCATGTTGCTAATAGGCATGTTGCTAATAGGCATGTTGCTAATAGGCATGTTACTAATAGGCATGTTGCTAATAGGCATGGCTGTAGAAGTGCTTGCTTATCATGAACGAAGACCCGGGTTCTACCCTGAGCAACCCATGACCCAGGTACAGTGGACTAGGCCTGTCATCCAGGACTCCAGCAGTGAAGGCAGGAGAATCAGAAGTTCAAGGTCATGCTCAGTTACAAAACAACATTGAGGCTAGCCTGGGCTACACAAGAGACCCTGCCTAAAAAGCAAAAGCAAAAACAAAAACAAAGAAAAAAGGTGAGTCTCTGAGAAGTCATTAGGTCAGGTAAGTAAAATCTTCACAGAAGGGAAGATGTGTTTATAGAATAGGATTCTGGGCTGGCTAGTTGGCTCAGAGAGTAAAGACATTTGCTGCATAATCTTGGTGACCTCAAGTTCAATCTCCGGAACTCACAAAAGGTAGAAAAAGAGAAATGAGTCTGCAAATGTCCTCTGACCTCTATCTGTGTGACAGACACACACACACACACACACACACACACACACACACACACGTGTATGAGAAGGTCTTGAATTTGAGAGCAGGTGATTGGTGGCACACACGAGGAGTTGGGGGGCTAGGGAGGAATGAAAATGATACAAGCACACTATTTTCAGGTATGGAATCCTCAAACTAAACAACAAAAACACTAAAAAACAAAACAACAACAAAAACAAAAACAACAACAAAATCTGAGAAGATGAAATCAGTGGCTATCATGTGCTTTGGAATTAACACACATACAAATAAAAGAGGCGCCTGCCTCTCAAGCACCCTGAAGACACAGCAGGGAGGTGCCGGCTAAGACCAGGAAGCTGGTTTCACCAAATTCTGGATGTTTCAGTCTTTAAACAGCACCCTGCTGATGACATTGTGTCCCAGCAGAGCAAACAGATGGGGACAGTCACTAACAAGGCGAGCATGAATCAGCCCCAGCACCTGTCAGGCTGGTCTGCAGGGACCTGTGCTAACAAAACCCTCCCTGATACAACAGGTAGAGCTGTCCCAGGAGAGCAGGAAGTGAGGCAAATGACCGGGTCTCCCAAGAGACTGGCTGCATACCTCAGACTCTTAGGTAGAATTAGGGAAAGAAAAAACAAACGAAAAGAAGAAGGTGCTGGGATTTAGCACAGTTGGTAGAGACCTTGCTTAGCATGCACAAAGCTCTGGCTTCCGTCCCCAGCCCTGCATAATCAGGTTGGGCAGTGCCTGTCTGTAATTCCAAGTACTTGGGAGGTGGAGGAAGTTTAAGGTTATTTGAGGTGACATGGTGAGTTTGAGGCTATGACTGTCTATCTCAAAAAACAAAACAAGAAAAACCAAAACCAAAACAGGGCTGGTAAGATGGCTCAGTGGACAAAGGTGTCTCCTGACAAGGCTGAGCGCATGCAGGCATGCACTACACACAAAATGATTTTTACTAATGACTGGAAAGAAAGAGAAGAACTAAAGACAGTGCTGGTGTGGTGGCACAGGCGTCAGACACCTTACCATACAGGACGTCTTGTCTCTTTACCACCTCCTTCTTCTGTTTCTTGGCATATGCTAAATCCACAGAGAGGCTCCAGGACTCAGCCTCAAACTCATGGGCATCCGACTCAATCTCACACCTCAGTGAGGCAATGTAAGGATCTGGGGGAAGGACAGAAGGTTGTTGGTAAGGGTCCAGTGCTTGCCATATCTTCCTGTCCTGTTTATGGACACGCTGAAGCCTCTGGCCTTTCCCAGTAGAGCTGGGAACCATGTGGCATCTCTGGGAGAGCAGAGAGGACTGACCATACCTTCTATGAAAACAGACTCAGCATTTGAGGATGTGAGTGACAGAGAGTCGTCGGCCGTCTGCTTCAATTTTAAAAACACGGAGTCAGCTTCATCCATGTCTCCAGCGATTGGTCTGAGTGATTGAAAGTGATTGAAATGTTTATTTCACAAAAAGAAATCAAGGCCAGTGAGATGGCTCTGTGGGTGAAGATGCTTCTAAGCCTGGTGACCTGAATTCAATCCCTGAGTCCCACATGGAGTGGAAGGAGAGAGCCAACTCCACAAACAACAAAAGTGGCTTCAATAGGCACGTATGCATATTCGGAATATGTAAGGCAAGTGGAACTGTTACTCCTAATTAGATGTTTGGAGAACTTTCTGGATTCCAGGAGAACTCTTTAACTTGTCATAGGTCATCTTTTAAAAAATTAGGAAACTTCTGGGCTAGGGATACAGCACAGCATTAGAGTGCTTGCCCAGGATGCTCAAGGCCCTGCATCCCACCCCCAGTAAGAGGAAGAGGGGAAGGAGCAAGGAAGGGAATGTGGAAGAAGAGGCAGGAAGAAGGGAAAGAAGTTGAGGACCATAGTTTTGGAATTCTAGGTGAGTCCTCAGAGAGACCACATTAGGGGAAAAGCCTGGACTGCTGACTAAGGTATTGACTTAGTTTAGGTTGTTCCATGTATCAGCTAGTGACACAACTGTAACAGATGTACCGTCCTGGACTAACAACAGAGGCAACTGTGTCTGTGGACGCTGAGGGATAGGCTAGGGAAGGAAGCTGGAGACTCTGCTGCTTGCTCACATTTTCCGGAAATTTAAAAATATTTTAGCAACTGGGGGTGTGACAGAGCACATGTTCAACTACTGATGACACAGTAAGGTGACTCAGTAAGTCTGTGTGCAGGAGTACCCAAGTGCCCTGCCTTCACTGGTGACCACTTCCAGGATACACAGCCTCACAGCAACTGGTGACAGGGAGGACTTTTTACAAAGGGAATAGAGTAACAGCTCCTTTCCCCAGCTACTCATCAGTGAACATAACCATTATGTTACGCTGTGGCTCTAAGTCAATGCTCCTGGTCCTGTTCTGATAGGACCATCTTGATGTACAGTGAAGCCAAGAGAGGCACGGGCATTAAGCATGTCTTGGGAATAGGAGCAAGCCCTGTCTGGGGATGTCAAACCAGTATGCTATGCAAACTGCCTCTACCCATGGTTGAACATAATCAGGTATGCATTGGTTTTACAAAAAGAAAATGTAGCCAGGGATTGGTGGCATACACTGTTAATCCCAGCACTTGGGAGGCAGAGGCAGGTAGATCTCCGAGTTTGAGGCCAGAGAGAGTTCCAAGACAGCCAGGGTTATACAGAGAAACCCTGTCTCAAAAAACCGAAACAAAACAAAACAAAACAAAACAAAACACCAAAACCAAAAAGAAAACACGTGGACTGGGCCAATGAGATAGCTCAGCCAGTAAAGGTGCTTGCCTTCAGACTGATAACTTAATTAAGTTCAACCCCTGGGTCCCAAACAGAAGGAAAGAACCAACTCCTCAAAGCCAGCCTCTGACCTCCATGTCTGCCGTGGCACGTATACCCCAATACAGCCACACAAATAAATAAATGCAATCCAGAAAAGCAGGTTTAAGGTGATTTTTGACTACACTTTGAGTTCTAGAACAACCTAGGCTGTAAGACTGCTCTGACAATGATAATGATACATTTTAAACAACACCCGGATTCAGATAGCATGTGTTAATGGGTCATCACCATGGAACATAAATTAGTTTATTTTCTCCTCCCCCTGTGAGTACACCACACTTTCTGTCAGCAGAAAGGCACCTCCCCCCGCCCCCAGCTTACCCAAGTCGCACCCCAGATCCAGCTGGGTTCGGTGTTGGCTGGGGACCCCCTTTCTGAGAGACGGTCATGCCGACATTCCTGGAAGGAGCTGGGCTGCTGCCATCAGACAGAAGTGTGGTCCGAGGGTGCTCCTTCAGGGAGGCTGCAACAGAGGCAAATACAGAGCTGGAGCTGAGAAAGTGGGCAGGGTAGCGGAGGTTGCCTGTCCTGAAGCCCCGCTCCGTCTGGGGCCTCAGCACCGACAGGATCTTGGAGGTCAATAGCTCATTATCCAAGAAGACATTCTCGTTCCATTTCCTGGGGAGAGAGCCGTAGAAGGGCAGCTCAGGGTGGCCAGGGGGTGACCCCTGCCTGTCGCCACTCTTAGAGTGTGTAGTCCCCATGCTGGTGACTGGCACTGTACCCAGGCTGTGCTGTGCTGGTTTTGATGCCTTGGGTGGGATCCTTCTAGAAAACCGAGCTGCGCCTTCCCCCACTGTATTGGCTGGGCAGTGGGGCTGGTGTGCTGGAAACTAGTTCCTACCGTGACTGTGTGGTGTACAAATGGCACAGAATTTTCTCTTTGGGTAAAACATTAAAAAAAAAAAAAGGGACCAGCTCTCTCACACTCTGCTTGCTCTTTGCAGGGGGCAGCAGCAGAGGACAGCTTGTGTTCACGGCAAATGATCTACTATTGGGAGCTGTGCACTTGGCGTGTTCGGCGCAGACACTACACTCAGGATGATAATTGATCCGAGATCGGATGTCGGGATAATGCTGAGACCCACAGACCCGGAGGCATGATGCTGACTTAGCTGGCTGTGCTCCTCAGTCCCGGTGTAGGATAGGACTCTAACATCGGGGATACCTGAGGCTCATTATTCTGTTTCATGGACACACCCAACACACATCAGAGCTCTGAACGGTTCTTTATTCCAACTGCTTCCTTTTTAGGGTCTGGACCGGAGGATCCATGCACCCACTGATAGAAATGCTTCCCACTGATGGGGGCGGGGGAAAGCTTAACAAAACAAAACAGCAGTGCTGGGGATGGAATCCAAGACTGTGCGCACGCTCGCTTGACAGCTTTGTATGACTGCACCACACCCTAACTCTTCACTGAGAGACTCTAGGAAAGTGTTCTATAGCTCTCTCTGAGCATAGGCAGGGGTTCTACCCCTGAGCCATGCCCCAACCCTCTCAGGACTTATTTAGTTAAGAAAAACTGCACTTCCTTTTAGCTCTCTGGCCTGCCCTCGTCTAGCAGGAAGACCCTTGCTGGGTGCTGCTGCTGTTGCAGTCTCGATTTCTTAAGACTCCAAAACCACTGGCCAGACAAATATCTCTCTGTTTCTGTCTTGATCCAGGATAGCCAGGGCTACATAGAGAAACCCTATCTTGAAAACAGATAAAAACAAAACAAAAACAGACTAAGAATACATTGGACATTTCCTGACAGAGAGGTCATGAAGGAAGCTTAAGATATGAGTTACTACTTGCTGCAAATATTTTCAATTAAAATTCATTCTTTAATTTTTATTTATTTTATTTAATATTTAAATAATATTATTTATTATTTATCAAACAGAACAATACTCTTTTTTCCCCCTTTGAGACAGGGTCTCTCTGTGTAGCCCTGGCAGGCCTGGAACTCAGTAGCTGAGAACAGCTTCATACTTCCCTGCCTCCATCTCCCAAGCACCAGGTTCACAGCTGTGTACCACCACATCTTTTATTGGCTACTGGACATGGAACCCGGGACTTCATATATACCAGCCAAGTGATCTACTAGCTGAGCCACATCCCTAGCCCTCACAACATTCAATATTTTTATTAGCATGGTGGGGATGTCACTGACTCCTGCCTCAAATGTTCTGAAGTGAAGTTAATCAATGTCTGACAACTATTATTATGGTAGATGTTGGCCGCGTAGATGTCACCAATGCGCACACACCCATTTACAAATAAAAAAAAAATCATAAATGGAAGTGGCTCCTCAGGTCAGGGCAGGAATTTCCTGCCATTTGCACACCATACCAAACCCCACCCAGGCTATGATGATTTAAACATACAAGAATGGGACAAACCTGAATGGCGGCTCTGCCGGGCCTCTTAGCATGGCTAGCTAGTTCCTGAACTAAGGGTTGGCCCCAAGTTGAATACATTCTGCTTTCACACTGTTCAGAGAAGAGAAAGTACAAATACCATCTAGGAATGGTCAGCTCCAAGGAATGTTAAATATTGCTAACGGTGGGCCTGAGGACATACACCTGTAATCCAAACGCTGGGAAGAAGGAGGCAGGAGGATCACGGGTTTAAGGCCAGCCTGTCTCAAAAACAAAAGGACAAAGGGCTTGGAAAGGTGGCTCAGTGGTTAAGAGCTCTTGCAGAGGATGCCTGTTCAGTTCCCAGCACTGGCATGGCACCTCACGACCACCTGTAACTCCAGTTTCAAGAGAGCTGAGACACTCATCTGGCTTCCTTGAACACTACCATATACCTGTACATGCAGCACACACACACACACACACACACACACACAGACACAGTCACACACACACACACACACACACACAGTATACTAGCTGTACACACAGGCATGCACACATGCACATTAAGTTCACCACCATATACCTGTACATGCATGCATATACACATATACATTCTGCATACCACTATATATCTATACAGGAATACATAGACATAAAGTATACGAAAAGGGCTAGTGAGATAACTCAGTGGATAAAGTCCCTTTGGTACTAATCCTGATGACCTGAGTTTGATTTCCTCATTCCCCTGGACCCACATACTAGAAGGAGACAGCTGACTCCTATAAGTTGTCCTCTGACCTACACACATGTGCCCATGCAAACAAGCTTTTCCTCCATCAGTTAAAAACACCAAAACAAACTAAACAAACAAGAACCTAAAACCAAAGGCTAGACATACAGCTTGATGGTAGAGTGTTTACCTAGCATGTCCAAGGCCCAGGGTTTGATCCCTACCTGTTATAGGGATTAAGAGCTACCTTGGATTGTGTTGCTGTGACCATCTCCTATCGCAGTCTTGATTTTCTTGTGATTTGTTTTCGGCCTTTAAGAGTTGGTCCCAGCTGGCGTGGGGGTGGGGGAGGCACCCGTCCGCCCCTCAGCGCCGTCCCTTGTCTTTGGTTAGCCATACGAAATGTTTGTTCTTTGCACTGTCCAACGGTCCCTATTATGATACGGAGAAGCAATATCACCGAAGCTCACACCATGTATTATTATTCACTAGCACCCTAGGTGTGATAATTGAAGTAAATATCTTTTATACAAACAAACAAACAAACAAAAAAAAAAAAAGAGCTACCTTGGAGATCACTGAGAATGAACCTACCTCCAGTCTATCTGTTCCTGCGTTGTGTCCCGTCATTCCTCACTCCCAATACCAGAAAGGGAAGTTACTTCTTAGTTTTAAAATCAAAGCCCCATTTAACATAAAGCTACTTCCTCCTGGTCAAGCTAGAATAGAATCTAAGTTGTTCATTCCTCTGTCCCTGGGAAGAGACCTGACATTATAAGCTACCCAAAACATCACAGACTATATTATCTTATTTGCCAGCTTGGTTTGTCGCTCACCTAGCTAGGGCTCATGCTACAGGGAAGGAAAGGCTACTTGTCCCCTTAGTGAGATAATGTGGTCATTCCTTCAAGGGGCCCCTCCCTCAGTGCAGTCAGTGATGGAGTTTTGAGTCCTCAGAAAAGTTTACCATTCTTTGTTTTGTTCCTTTTCCTTGGGATACCCACCAAAAGTCCAAGCACACTTTCTCGGTTGCTCTGGGCCTTTTCAGTTTTTCTCTGAAGCCCTCCATCTCCCTCCACCATGAAGTGGCTTGCTGACCTCCACTGTAAAAGGCACAACGCTCCTTCTCTCTCCCTCAGGTCTACTGCCAGGTTTACGGTTGTCTGCTGTTGTTTCCCTTCACACTGTAAAGCTCTGATGATTATTTGTTTATGTATAGTATGTATGTGTGTATGCAGTGGGTTCCTAAGGAGGCCGGAGGAATGCACTGGCTATGCTGGAGCTGGAGTTAGGGCATTGAGAGCTGCCCCATTGTGTGCTAAGAACTGAACTCAGGCCCTCTGCAAGAACAGTACACAGTCTAAGCCACTGAGTCATCCCTTCAGCCCCTATTTTTCTCAAAATAAAATTATCTTTGAGCTTCAAGTCTATTTAAAAAAAACAATTCTTTAACTAATGAGACTGTGAACAGAAACTGAGACCTCAGTTTCCCTAGTACAGCAGACAGCAAACAGTAACAGTAAAATAAACTATTAGAATGGACAGAGTATGGTAGTGCATTCCTTTTATCTCAGCACTTATGAAAGCAGAGGCAAGTAGATATTTGAGTTCAAGGCCAGCCTCCTTGACATAGCACCTTAAAGACCAGCCAGGACTATATAGTGAGACCCTGTCATAAACAAACAACCCTCCAAACAGAAACTATCACCAGCCCTAAAAGTACGGCAGCACACTGAAATGCACTTTGTATAATGTAGAATACAATGTAAAGTATTTGTTTTGAATAATGTATTTTTAAAAATGCGCATTGGTGTTGTGCCTGCATGCGCGTCTGTGTACCGAGTTCATGACTGGTACCCGTGGAAGCTAGAAGAGAATATTAGATCCTCTGGAACTGGAGTTATAGAGTGTTGTAAGCCACCATTTAGCTTCTGAGAACTAAACCCTGATCCTCTCAAAAGTATTATTCTTAACCTCTGAGCCAGGCCTCCGGTACAGGTATTTATGTTATGGAGGATGGGTCCAAAATGACTCACTATAATGTTTGTAGCCATGGAAGAAATTTATGAACCAGGCTCTCTGCCTTAAACAGTTGTATGAATTGTGCCTTTAAAAGAGTTTTAAATTTTTAATATATATATATATAATTATATTTATATAATAAATATATATATACATTGTCACTCTCTTCAAACACACCACAAGAGTGCATCAGATCCCATTACAGATGGTCATATGCCACCATGTGGTTGCTGGGAACTAAACTCAGGACCTCTGGAAGAGCAGTCAGTGCTCTTAACCGCTGAGCCATCTCTCTGTGCTTTTTTGTACTGAGGTTTCATGCTTTTGATACTTTGGGATTTATAGTTCCTGGTGGGACCAATCTTTAAGTTCCAAGGCTAGCCAATCCCTAGAGATGATAAAGGCTTCACACTGAGGCATGAGATGACTCACTGAGCAAAGGCGCTTGCTGTAGAGCATGGTGACCTGAGTCTGACTGAGACCCATATGGGAGAATGAGAACCGACTACTGAAAATTGTCTTGTGACTTCTGTAAGCATGCTGTTGCACTTCATGTGTGCCCACAAATCGGTCACTGAACAAATGAAAACTTAAAAAGAAA